CTCAATTCATATGAACCTATGTTCTGACAAAGTAAAATCACCTTAGCTTTCACATCTTCAGTTTTAAATCTTTCTTCTGAAAAAATTAATTAGTTAGTATTTCTCTAGAGGTACAGAACATACCAAGAATATCCTAATGTTAACCTGATTGATACCAATCACATGCACTAATGTACTAAAGCAGATGATGACAATGGCTACATGTAATCTTCAAGTAAGATCTTAGTTCATGGAATTAGAACTGGTAAGGCAAATCAAGTATTTCCAAATCTCTCCAACTTCTTCATGGTACTTCTGTTACAGAATGTTGTATCTAGTTGGTAATTGTTGGTATGTAGCCCTAGATTCTCAAATGTCACCTAGTATTTTAAGGAAAACTAGAAAGCCTAGCAAAATTTGTCTCTTTGTTATAAGCATACCTTTGAATGCTATGTTCACTTCAGTTTCAAGTACTGTGAGTTTACGTGTAATACAACGTAATGTAATGTTTACATTAGATCTTGACCATGACACAGTTAGCAAAATACTTGAAAAAAGTATTTCAGATACAAAATACTTTCATACAAGCATTTTAGATATAAAATACAAGATAGGATTTTAAAATTCTTTTGAATATACAGAATAAATCAATAATGATCCAGAAGTTTATTAGCAAGCTTTTAACCCGATATGAAAGGTTAGAAAATCAGTAACAATTTTATAATTAAATTTGCTGACCACTATCTGTGGTTGTAGATTAATTATAAGTAAGGAAATCATTCACATACTGTTTCTCTGGCCTGTTTGATGAAGCAATCAGTTCCAGGTGAAATGCATCAACCCTAAATGGAACATCATTGTTTTCCAGGAAGTGTTTCAGTTGAGGTTTTGTCCATTTTCTTGTTAGCAATCTCTCCAACTCTAAGCATAGAAAATACAAAATTATTTCCTTTTTTGAAAATAAGTCACACCATCTCTGTTGTTTTGCATTTTGTATTTACAAAAATGAGAATATTGCTATTATATTGTTTCTTCAGGAGTACAACGAAATTTATATTCAACTGTTACTTACAGGAGCACTGTGATAAGAAGCATTATCGAGCACAATAATAGAAGTTAGTTAGTTCTTGAAGTTTTGAAAATTCCTCAATCGACTCCCCATCCATCGTTCCATTTCTTCACGAAGAATATAGTGTCTTCTTGTCGCTGGCGCGAACAAGGCGATGCACTTTGCGCCCACTCTGCCTTCTCATGGTTCACAATCGTGTCACAATTATATAAAAAATAAATATACGAAGCAAAGCACGGTATCACAAAACAGCTTGCCACCTTTCAACACAGCCGGAAACGTGCCACCAGTACGCATCTCACATTCAAGACTCGATTTTAAATGAAGCACAATACTTATCACACAAAAAACAAATTCAATGTAATGTTTATATAAAAAAGAATTTTTACAGAAGAGCACATAGCTCTGTACTTCCTAATTTCAATTATTTCTCGTGGCACACTGAATTTTCGTCGGACGAGGACATCACGAAAAGATGACTCGAAGTCCTTTACAAGTTAGCCAACTGCAAACGAATGGAGGAAGCAGAGCAACACAACCTAGATATATCTAGGTGGTGTTGAGCAGAGTCTTACAGGTTCAAGGACACAATGACCACAGAATCAGTTGTGTTGCCAGCTCTAGCTGTCAAATTCTACTGAAAGTCGCTCTATATTTTTGTTTTCGTATTATCTGGGAGTTTCCCGGCCATCCGAGGCGAAGCGCACCGTCATGAACTCTTGAGGGAAACCGTTATTTTCGTGTGCCTCCTACTTGAGCGTATTTACTGGGTTTGACAGCGTTTTTTTAGATTTTTAGTTGTCATGCACTGTAGAGGAAATTGAAGATACCGTAGTTTAGCTGAAACAAAAAGTATTTGGTTCACTAACATTTGAAGAAAAGTTTTCGATTGATTGAATGTTTTTGCATGTGATCGTGAAATGAATATTTCTGAGAATTTGTTTGCCAACTTATTTACAATTTTTTTATTCGCTGAGATTAAAAGAAATTAACTGATTGTTTAAATAGAATTGAAACGTTTCAAGACCCATCAAAATCGGTAATTTTTTCGAGATTCTAGCGATCTGCTGGAGACGAGGGGCGCGTGATGTTCACTTGTTTAAAAACACCTTTCCCCACCCACTTAGCGCAACCTAACAGAAATAAGAGGGCAAGAGCACGTTGTTACATAGATTAACACATTCATTTATACTGTATATATTTCTTACACAGGGAACAAAACGGATCATAGGAAAGGACACGCGTGAAATAAACGAAGTTGTTATACGATAGATTTATGCAAACTTATTCGAGAAATGGCCCACGGTTCATAAATCTCGACGCAGTCGCCATAAATATGCTGTCAAGTGCATTGTCATATTCCTCGCGGCGCATACCCTCTCTGATCAGTTGTCTGGGCCAAATGGATTCAGGATGGTTTGTGTGGAACCCAGTTACAGGAGTCACTGCCCCGAACGATAAAGTAAGTTATTTTGATCCAGCTGGTTGTACCCTCTCCAAAACGTCTGTGAACATGGGGATCCGGTTTCCATATACTGCACAGTCAACCAACGCTGCGCTTAACATCCCTTAAAGAAGATGCTGAAGGTGGTGTCCTTCGGGTCGATTACATTCTTAGAGTCTCCGAAACACATTCTGATTTTTTTCTGATGAAGCATGGTTTCATCCGAGTGGATATGTCAATAGCAAAACAAACGCTATTGGAAGGGAGAAAACCCACACCTGCTGCACGAAGAACCATTTCACGTCGTAAGGATCGGAGAGTGGTGTGCGTCCAGTTCCACAAGGATTATGGGGTCTATTTTTCTTAACACCACCGTCACTGCTTAAGTTTTCATAAATCAGATATTGACATTATTTTTCCAGCAATTGATCCCGAAGGATGTCTACTTACATCAGGATTCGACAACTGCTCGCACTGCTGTTCCATCCATGTTATTTTAATAATACTGTTTACAGTGACGATCGAATAGAAAAATATAAAAAGAAAGAAAGAAAAAAACGCATTCGGAGGAAGAACTCCAGCGCCCTATTGAAGAGCAGCATCACCGGCAGCATTTCCGAGAGTCCTTCAAGAGGTAAATCAGAATTTGTGCCGGAGGTACCAAGAATGCATTCGAGCCGAAGAACACCTCTTTCAGCATCTTCTTTAAGGTAGTAGGTTAAGCACAGTGATAGTTCCCGTGTGTCAGCACGAGAGGTGAGTCAGCGCTTCGCTGGGCGAGCAAGCCCCCGACTCTCCGTGCGAAGTGGCCCGTATCTTCGGCGGACGATAAAAAGGTAAACCTTTATTATTGTGTCACACTTCCCTCGTTCCCGGTCAGTCATGCTCAGAAACTACTGTTCCATCATACGACCACGAAGGTATTTCCAGCGGCCGATCTTGCATTTATCTATTTCAATGATCTGATTTCGACGCCGATTTTGCGTTGCATGAAGTAGCGTCGATTCAATCTGTCCAGAGTTTTCTAAGGGCGCCTTCCCACGTCGCCACGGCGTTCGCGCTTCCTTCAAGCAGCAGAGCCCTTCCGACGCAGCCACCGCCGGAGCCACGGCCGCACCGCCGCCCGCCGTGGAAGGGGGTGGGGTCTGGAGGGGTAGGTTTCGCCGACCCTCCGGCGACGACGAACAAAGGGACCGGAGCAGGTAGAACGCAGGAAGACTCTCATTTAAGGCTGTGTTCTGCTAGCGGTGGCGCGTGCCCCCTCCTCCGCTTCGCGTAGCTGGAGTTGGCGTCGGCTGCCGCAGCAGCCGCCACCCGCTGCACGTGGGAAGGCCTCCATTCAAACCAATGCTCTGCTACGCGCCGCGCTGCTCCGAAGCGCACCGCGGTCGCGCCGTGGGAAGGGGCCCTAAATGATTGAAACCACTCTGCGACAGTGGAATCCGCAACAGGTTTTTCCTTTCGCACTTGCGACGCTTTCGGCGTTTCTTCTATCACAAAACAGTGCAGTGCATTAGAACAGCAAGGCGCTATTACAAAAATCGTGTTGAGCGACGAAACCGCCTACCTCCACGATTGCCAGCATTCGTTTTCTGACAAGAAAAGAATCCAAAGTATAGTTACCAGCTCGTAGTATAGAAAGGGTACTACATTTCGGACGGGATGAGGTTTTGTTGCACCTCCCAGACCACAGCAGTATGTTCCATCGAAATAATAGTCGACAGCTGCGACACATTTCAACTCGCAATCTTCGAAACTCAACAGGCAAGTACACAATAACACGAGCACTGTGAAGCACGCAAACTCGTTTTGTTGGAACAAATTTCACTTTAGATTGTTCGGGAATCGAACCGGGACCTCCTTGGTGAAAGGCAAGCGAATTCGCTCTGGACCACTGGACCAATTTCTATAACGTATCTTCTATGTAGCTTCATGAATATTAACAATACAGACTGCAAAGTCCCAGGGGGCCATCGTCTCGACCCAGTTGGCGGAGAGTTCGGCTCGAGATTGTATACAAATTATGCTCACAATGCGAGGCACATATGAGTGGCCTTGGTAGAATGCTGAAATGGCAGTAACTCCTCAGTTGACAGTAATCCCAGTTTAAATTGCTTGCATCGAAGGGTTATGCTTTCTTCCTGAACAAGCAGTATTCAAAGTTAAAGATAACCGAATACCATATCAATTTTAAAATAATTATTTCATTTCACATTATTAGATTGAATGAAATTTAGTTTTGCTGACAAACCAAGATTTCTAAAGCAAATGCAATTTCAATATTGTCTTAAAAGAGTCTAGAAGATTTATTGAAGGGAAAAAAAGGGTTAGATAAATGAGCATAATTTTAAACATTAGAAAAACAGAACACCCCAGAATATTGCCACTCCATCCCTCCATCACTTCAGAAAGAGAGAACCGAGTACTGAGCAAATCTAGCAATGTTCATACAAAAATAATGCCACACCTCACCACTGGAAGCACAATATATGCAACTGTTAACAGTGCCTTAAATAATGTAGTATTCTTCAAGAATCATGATTGGGAAATGTAACACAATCTTCACAATTGAACATTAGTTTTATGTACTTTTGAGGTATCTCACAACACACAATCTCTTTTAGGGCAACTATTCAATTACTGTTAATAATTAAGAGACATTGTGTGGAGCATATATAAAATAACAATTAGTGAAAATTAACACATGGTCACTGACAAGTCAAAGGAAAAAAAAGTTTTAAGAGAAGTTTTCATAAAGATACCATTAGAATAAATTAGAAAAAACATAAGAATAAATTACTTAAAAAATTAAAACAATGAAGTTCATGTTTTACAAAATACTAACTTATTTTATATAGAATCAGTAAGTGGAAACGATATTAAAGTAATGAATACCAACATTTTTACACAGATCTTGTGTTTTCTCGGTCGTTCAAAATACATAGTAGAATTGTTTCAGTCATTTTTTTTTCTCCCAAATGGATTACAACTACTCACAAATTCAAATTCATTCTCTGAATAAGATATCAGATGAAATGCAAAAATGTCAATACAGCTTACCCAAAGAATGGCATCTGTCAACCAAGATGACAGGTACAGTGAATAAACATACGAACAACGGTAATTATGAAAATATAAAGATGTATAGAGAGGAGGAGTAACTAAGAAACTGATTCAAATGTAAGGTTAGAAAACAATGGACATATAATTACTTCCAAAAATTTCACAACTAACAAGCTAATTAGTGTATATATTTTTCATTTTCATGCTACAATAATACAATATTCACATCAGCAAGTCTTAATATTCTTGGACTATAGATTACTGTGCCTATCACATGGCAAGATTACAAGGAAACATAAGAATCAGGGCATACATGCTATCACAATCACACACACTTGTGCACGTACATATATTACACTGTCAAATATATTTTCGCTGGACGCTCATGTACAGAATGTTCCAATGTTTTTGCTTTTGTAGGAACACAGCCCATCTAGACTATTGTACACACAAAGATATGCTTTACCATCCAATAACATTTAACACTTAAATGCAAGTAACATTTAAATGTACATTTCAAATGATAACATCCCAAACAACCTAAGATAATCACAAACTGTAATATTAATGCTTCTTGGAAAGATTGATCCTGAATATCTGCTAGTGAAAAACATTCAATATTAATTATCAGATTTATTACAATCACCAAATAATCTTAGTTCTGCAAAAGATCACCTCAGCAAATCTTTGTGCATGTGTGAGTACTATTAAAACACACAAAAGCCACTGACACTGACGACAGTACACAAAGGAGAGAACCCTTTATGAAGTAAATACCAGTGTATGAAAAATCATGAGCATTAATGTATTAAAAAGCTCAAACAGTGAAACATCCATCAGTACATATTTTAAGCTTCTATTTATAATTAACAATGGCACACTTCATTGAGAACCATTTAGTATGTGATTACCATATTTTCATACTTCAGTCTGCATAGACGATTATTGTCTGCACCAAACAAGATGACAATCTTTAATTAAATTACATCTCTAACACTTTTCTTTAAGTAGTTTTTAAAACTGAAATGGAACACAATTTCTTTACTAAGAATTCCATCATTATTTACAAGTACGTACTAAGAAAGCTACATTCCTTCCAGTAAAGTGCCACGGAAAATTTTTGGAAACACCACCCAATCCTGTACAATATTTCTAAATCATCTGATACAAAACTTTACGTACAAGCCGCCACAAAAAGTTAGTTTTCAGCAACTTGAAAAATTAGGTATGATATAGCTCTTGAAATTGAGTAAAAAACATTGCTCAGGTTACCTCCAGCAGTATTTCTGGATTGCTCTTTTAAAGCTTATATTCAAACTAATCTCACAGTGAAAACAGACAAAAATTTAGTAATTTGTGTAATTTTCAGGTCACTTCTAAACACAATAAATTAATTAAAAAAAAAAAAAAGCTACTAATCAATAACAACAAAGCATCAAGTTTGTCTCAGCAGTGTAATTCCCAAATTTTAGCTGTTTATTTTTCATTTCCACAAAAAAATGAATAAAGTATTCAAAGGGAGCATTTTTATAAAATAACAATTTTATAAAATAAGACCAGATAACCACTAAGTATAAAAAATATTTCTACATGAACACAAGACACTTCAAAGTCTAATAATAAAATGTGGCAAAAAACAGTATGTAGACCTTTCCAAAAAAGAAAGTAAATGAAGTTTAAAAAACCTAATACTAAATATTTGGCACAAATGAAACAACCTCTAAAAAATTAAAAAAGGAATCTATTGACTGTTTGACAACACAAAACAATCTTTTCAACAACCAAGCACAAGTGGGTTATTACTACACTAAGCTTTTTGTATTAACTACATCACTTCTGGCAAAATTCATCTGTACAAATAAATGGCACCATATTTAAATCTGAAATTGCTGCAAATAAAAACAAGCATACATACATATTTAAGTGCGTATACCATCAGAAATTAACAATACTTATACACATGTCTGTACATGAAAGAAATGTAAATCTCTCTAATACAAGCTACATAGTTCCACTTGAGAATCCAGAAAGTTTCTTCACCTCAAGAATTTAAAGGATATAAAAATAGACCAGGACGTATATCTAGGAGAACGTGAGATATACTGACCTAAGAGATAAAACCATTTTGATTTTTAAACTCACTTTATAAGGAGTTCTCAACTCTTAGGCGAATATTAACAATGAGTACCAATTGCTAATGATGAAACATTCTAATAAACATTTTTAATAATGCATTCTTAAGAATCTTCAATATTTAGAACACTACAAACCAGAAACTAATACTGGACATTTCCATGGACGTAAATTACATTCACAATACTTCATCAACTGCAACACTAATTTCTAATGGCATTAGCACTTCCTTGAAAAAGGCTCCATCTCTCCTTTTCTTGTCTTTCACAATTTCATCAATCGAGCAGTGCTCAAGCTCATTTTTCAGCAGTTGACTTGCACACCAGATGAAGATAGTTTACCAAAGTAAACTGCAAGAAAATCAGCAAATATTTTCTTTTTCAAGTCTTTCAGCACAAGTTCAGGGGCAGGAAGTAAAGTAATAATGCAACTTACATGTGAAGAACTCATTGAAGAACACAATTCCTATTCTGTTGGGGTAATCCAGCACGTGTTAAATCTCTTTCTATTTCATCATCATCCTCAATTCTACAAATATAAAAATTACCAAATAAAAAACAGATCAAATCAGCTAAGAAAATAGGATACTATGAACCAAAGCTTTTAGCTTACGCTCGTTCTTGAGAATCCAAGTGATGCACTAATTCATCTCTTTTGTTAACAATTGTAACTAATTCATCTAGCAGTAGGTTTTCTCTAATTTTTTGTTCTTCTGTTTTCTGCCAATCTGAACATAAAAATGGTATATTTTATTCATCCACAACCCTTCAATAAGTAAAATATTTGTTTAAATAACATTATCCCATTACCTTCTATAGCCAAAATGCTTCTTAACTCTCTATTAAGCAATTCAAATTTCCTTTCTAAATCATCTTCTTTTTCACTGAAAAACAGTGCAATGAAACAAAATAATTCATAATTGATATTTCATTCATTTTTATTTCATTCTCAACCATGTGCATGTATGTGTGGTGTGCATATGTGGAAGATTACATCTATTTATCCATCCATATAGTTTTTTGCGGTAACTACAGAGATTAATGACAAACTACTTACAGAATGTTTAACTGCATTTGTCTTCTCAAAAGTGCATTCTTTTTGTTCACAAGAGTAAACCATTTGGACATTAATTCCTCTTCTCGGTCTCTGTCACTCCCTGAACATAATAATTATTTTAAAAAGGTGAGGATGGAAAATTGATAAAATATTAAGGAAAGTTCTTTGACACATATATGAATATTAGCATTTCTCTTCAATTATTTCAGTTGTTTTTAAGGTTAAATCCAGCTGACAATTATTTTACAATAATGTAGTATGAAAGCAGCTACACAAAAACAATTAAATCACTCGCCTGTTGATTTTCATCATGATCACAAAATGTATAAAAATCTGTACAAACTTCTCTGACATCAACACAAAAATTAAAGTGGCCTACAAACAGCAGAACCACTTCACAATGACTTTCTGCATATATTTTCCAATTTCTAAATTACCTTTCACACATGACAACCACAATTTCTTCCTCCCTTTAAAATGTAAATGTGAAGGGAGAAAACAAAATATAATTATAATTGAATGGCAGATGAAAAAAAATAAATTTACAATATAAATGATAAACTCAAAGGAATAATGCAAAGTATACAAACAAAAAAGCAATTCAAAGAAAAAGCACATAAAAAAAACAACAAAAGACATACCAGCTTCCATTACACGACGTAGATCCTTCTCTAAAAGAGCTGCTTGTTTATCAATTTGTTTTTGCTCTCTTTCCAAAGCTTCCAATTCATTTTGAATGTAATTTACCATATCTTTTCCACACTGCAAAGGTATGACAATTTTATAAAAAAAATTATTTTCTAATCACACGCTCAAAAAGGCAAAGTGTCATACTTACTCCTCTCCGAAGTTCATCAGTATTTTTATCAGGAGAAATACGGTCCATCAAAGAAGAGAATGAATGCAATGGGGATGCTTTCTTGGTAGTGTTGTCATCTTCTATAGGTAGATGAATGGGTCGTAAAGCGGCAGATACATTCTCAAGGGGCGTTTTAGGACTCAAAACAGGATCAGAGGATGGAATCCTAGCCAAGACATTACCATTCTTCTCAGACTACAAGAAAAACAACTACATTATTTAAATTTAACCAAAACAATATATACTTGAAATGCATATCATCATACTAATTAGCATACCTCATAACTTCAGATTGGACAGTTTCGCAATGTAAAGAATAAACATAGCCAGGAAGCAGAATTTTAGTTTCTTTTATAGTTAAACATATAAATATTAGGGAACTCAATTATTTAAAATGCTCAATTTGTTATTTACTTTTATTTATTACTCTTCTTTCATAATTATATTTTATCATGAAGTAACAGAAAATAGAGGAGGGAATATGGAGTTACAACATATGCTAATTAGCACAACAATATATGAAATTTACTTATAAAATGCCTGTACGAGATTAAAATTTTCATACCACTCTCACACAATGTGAATCAAATCTTTTATTACATCACAGACAGCAATATTTGAATTTGCTTAATGCTTCCAATGATATAATCAAGTTTTCTTTATTTAATGGACAATTATTACATACCTCATTTCAAGAAAAAAACTAACCTTGCTTCCAAGAGACCAGCTGCCAGGAGAAGAGGGTTGGATTTTTTCAGGAGAATTTCTAAGAACTGTACTATTTTGATTGTCTGACACTAATTGTTCAGGTGAGACATTCTTATCAATTACGCCATCTAAAACAACACAACAAATTTAAATATTGGGAAACCATCATTACTCTGATAAATTATTAAAATATCAAAGTTGTGACTCCCATGTTTGATTACACTGTTTTCTTTGGTAAAGCCATTGCAAACCTTATAAATCAAAATTTTCATTTAGAAACAAATATTACTTTGCAAAAAACCCATATATGATTCATATACATGAACGAATGCAACAAAAACAGAACAGTAGAGAATTTGAGAAACTCTTGCAGGAAAGCACTCAAGTTCAAAGTAGCAATTTGATAGAAGCCAACTGCCAAGCTCTCTGCCAACATGTCTCGACTTCTCAATGTGAAGATATACTGATTAATACAAGTAAATATTAAAAAATTCTCCTTTTTTTCTTCTATCCCTTAATGTTCACCAGTTCAATGACACATTCTAATTCTTTGTTATGCTTGGCATAATTTTCTCACCTGGGCTATTACAAGAACTTTGAGTAGCTGGAAATAAGAGATCTTGTCCCTGTAAAGGAGATGTTGCCACTTTCATTCTTGTTTCTGCAATAAGACGTCGAGCTCGTTCTCTAAGTTGTTGCTGTCTCTCCTCTTCACCCTAAATTCAGAGAGTTGTATGTAAAAAAATAATCAGACTTCTTTTACAATTTTCGCCAAAAACCACATTGATAGTTGATTATAACTCTATTAGTACAAATGTTTTGGAACTACATTTCTAAATTGTTTACATCTAATTTATAAATAAATTCAGCTTTCCTGATAACATAAAGCTGATAAAATATATTGTAGCAAACTCATAAAACTGATGCAAAATTTGGAGGCTCAAAAAATTTAAAATACAATTCTACATTCAAGGAGCAATAATTTGCATGCATCATACCTTCAGTGTCCATATGACAACACATGCCAAAATAATGTTTTGAAACAGAAATATTATACTTAGTCTCTGAAGGATCTTCTATAAGGGAGTTCTAGTATAAGATGTTAACACTAGTGCTTACAAACAAAAGTAAATTTATCAATGGCACAATCGCAATATTACAGAATTTTAGATTACTTACTTAGTGTTGGATAAACTGAGTTAAAATGGAGCAAAGCATTCAAAATTCACAAGTAAAATTAAAAAAATGAAATAAAAATTTGTCATATGATCACTATACAGAATACACAAGCCACACGGATTACCTTAAAAAATGAAGTTTCTGGTAGGTCCCCTACAGTCAAACATATTTCCAAACAAATTTTGTTTTACAATGTGAATGTTACAACTTTTCTTCGAAAATCAAATAAAGCAATATATCTGTTACGCAATTTTTCCATTAAGTATCACTTAGCACCAGAAAGGCAGCAAACAACATGCTGTTTAAATGTACTTTACCCTCATCATGTAAATAACACAAAATATCATTAAGAAGTACACTGTAATTATTTATGACGATGCAAATTCACAATTATTTTGTAAAATTAAATCTCAGCCAAGACAAATTATTCACTTATGAATACTCAAAAACTGACATGGAAAATTGGGTACTGATGGTAATAAAGACTGCCCTCACAGCAAAGGAGAAGTACAAATATGGCTATTTCACTTTCAGTATGATACTATCTTGTGAAAAAATCAAAGCCAAAGTGAGGATAAATAGGATTAATTGACCAATTGCATGACATTCAACAGTAAACAAAAATCTGGATAATTACAAGAAACTCATGTTCTTGCATCTTATGAATCTATTCCGACTTACAAATATGTGAATCATTTGCTTTACTGAATATGACCAACTAAAAGCATACATGCACAAAATCATAGTTTTAGCATGTCTGAGTCAAGTATAGAAGTCACACGTCTCTCTTCAAGTTAAGTGGGCATAAATATGTTCCATTTTCAAGTTACTTGTATGCTTTGCATTAGGACTTGTTTTCACAAATAGAACTGATGATAGAGGTGGCATACAAGGATTCTTATTTCCATTAGTTATACACACAAAATGTTCACACAATATGAATTTGCATAGGCAGTTTAGGGGCCATCCATAAAATATGTAATGCTCAAGGGGTGAGGAGGGAGGCAATTTACACTGCAATGCAACAAAGGGGTAGGGATGTACTAGTTTGGTGTTATATAACACTGGTATTTATTTATTTATTTATTTGTTGGTTTATTTGTTTGTTTAGTCATTTATTTAAGATACAAAGCCAGTAAGATATCACGATAATTGGCATATAACAAAAATTTAATAATTATAAATGTGTGATGGCATGTAGATTCTTCAGATGTTAGAATTTATGAATTTTGCAGCTAATGAGTCTGCAAACACTGTATGTCATACTCACAGTTTGACACATGTTATTGATATTCTGAATCTTTTTGTATAGAATAGTGTTGGGTCTAAATTTATCCTTAGAGTTTGGATTATGAAAAGGTTTGTAACTATGGATATGTGGATAGAGTGGTACTGACAGTGAAATCTGACAACGAAAGAGGAGACAATCAGCAATATTACTGAACATTTTAAGAAACAGAATAATCAAATGCAGTCGCCTGTACAAGCCAAACATTGCATATCAAATCTTGAAAAACGGTACTCATTGTCAATTTCGTTAGGTAACGCTGCCTCTTTAAAAATTTCATACATTTTTATTTCATAAATCTACATCGAGATATTTCTAAAATAATTTGAAGACCCTTTAGATAAGATGTCCCAACTGCCTAAGCTTACTGCAATTTAGTTCTTACTATGGAAAATAACAATGTTTTAAGAACCCTTGACTTGATTTTCTTCCCCAGAATCATCACAAACCCAGGGGTTTTAGTAAAGCTCAGTATGAGGTTTGAAAGATACTTGTCGACCGAAAATAATACCCGGGTAAATAGGATACTTTTGCAAGAGGTATAAAAAAGGCAAGATTGCCATTATTGAAGCTCCACTTTAATTCACTGCAATTTCTAAACTAGTGGTGCTACAGAATGGCATTTCTCACACTTGTTAGTTTCCTCTTCTCTTTACACTAGGCTAGCTTTGCGGTATTGTTCTACCCTTTTCCCAAATGCGATCTACTGGTGCCTGAAATATATTTTTTGGAATATTCTCAATTTTTTAGTGCCTTAATAGTAGAATTGAAATATGACTAAGAATATTACACAAGAGTAGCACATGGTCAAGGACGGGTCTTGAACAAATGTTCAGGGTAGACAAAACAGATTACTGAACAATGGCAGATCCCAGGAACGGAAGAACTGGGAGCCATACTTCACCTCAATGGGCTTGGCAATAAAAAAATTTCTGCCAAAAATTCGCCGTTTTATGGCGGACTAATACTATCTTTCTTAGGAAGTAAGTGAGAGAAAGTGAAAAGTTTAAATCCAATTCTCTGTCATTAATATTTTTTGACATTATTAAATTGAAATAATTCTTCAATAATGTGACCCTTTGTTTGATGAGTGAGTTATTCTTACACAAAGATTGGCTCTGAAAGTTATCCAGAATGAAAAAGTTATCTTCCCAACACTTCAATCGAGGCCATTTATTCATCAAATAAAGTTTCAATGTCTATAATGTCCAGTTCAGGAGGGAATATAAGTAAAATAAAATCTATTTCCACCTACAGTAATTAATGAATAATGACAATTATGATTAATAATTTGAACAAAAGAAACAGTATATTTTATCTTTTCTTTTTATTTTTACTGCAAATAGAACAAGTCCTTTCCATTGTCAATCACATTGCACAATATCAAAAAATTACAATATTTAAATTCACATGAGTTTATCTGTGGTTTAAGCCAGGTTTCTGTAATAAAGATAATGTTGAAAAAAAATAAAATCACTAGTGGCGTTACAGGATGGCACAGGCTTCCTTGTAGTAGTTAATTTTCTAATTCCTTTGGTCTTGGCTAGCTTTCGGTCTTTCTCAATCTTCTTGCCAGCTGCCATCTATCACCGCCTAAAGTACATTTTTTTGATAATTTCTCAATTTTTCGGTTTTCAAATGGTAGAACTGAAATATTACTTTAAGAATATTAAAGAAAAGTAAATCCTCGTCCTATTGGGATATTCTCATTGAAAAAGTTGGAGAAGTTTTGTTTTAAATGTCCGTTTTCACAAAATCCCACCAATTTTAATTTTTTTCCCACAGAGAGAACAAGGAACGCATAAAAGAGTGGTGCAGGTCTCATTTTCGAACTCTCTCAAATTTTCGAAATGAACTCTTGAATTTTCGAAAAGTGCACAGTTAGAAATAACACAAAGTTTGAGCTGTAGCACAACTAGTTTCTCAACTACGCTTCCTTCCCTCAATAATTGTCCTCAGTCTCTATTGTTAACCCTTTCAGTCCCATTGTAGTCATACAGCTACATTACTTTCTTGAATTGATCTTACTCCTTGCCTGTGTCATTAGTCAACTGCGTATTGTTCAACTACATTTCGTGAAATCAAGAAAATTAAGCAACTCGAGCCACCTGGAATTCCTGGACGAGTGATCGTCGCCGAGAGGATAAAATGCAATAACCAAATGCAAGGTTAAGAGATAAAAAGAGATACATGTTGAAAAAAAAAAAAGAAAAAAAAAAAAAAAAAAAAAAAAAAAAAAAAAAAAAAAAAAAAAAAGAAAAAAAAAAAACGTTATACCACAGCATATACATTAGTTCTATGGACAGACGGACGGACTGGCCGACAGACGGACGAACGGACCAACCGACATACGGACGGACGGAGCGACCGACGGACGGACGGACCGACCGACCGACGGACCGACCGACCGACGGACGGACCGACCGACCGACCGACGGACGGACCGACCGACGGACGGACCGACCGACGGACGGACCGACCGACGGAGCGACCGACCGACGGACGGACGGACCGATCGACGGACGGACCGACCGACGGACGGACGGACGGCCCGACGGAGCGACAGACGGACGGACGGCCCGACGGAGCGACAGACGGACGGACGGTCGAGAGCGACAGCAGCGGACGGACGGCCCGCTGGAGCGACAAGGACGGACTGCCCGACGGAGGCGACCGAGACGGACGGCGGACGGCGAGCGGGACCACGAGAGGACACGGTCGGCCCGACGGTAGCGGCAGACGAGACGGACGGCCCGAGGAGCGACAGACGGTCGTACCCGCCGGAGACGCCGACGTGAGCGACTCAGACGGATCGACACGGACGGCCCCGACGAGCCGACAGACCGGAAAGACGGACGGAGCGCGAGAACGTTGAGTGGCACTAGACGGACAGGCCACGACGGAGCGACAGGACGGACGGCGACGAGCGACAGCTACGGGACGGCCACACAGAAGCGTGAGCGGAACAGACGGGACGGCCCGACCGGACAGACGGACTGGTCCTGACGGAGCGACATTAGTTATTGACGGGGACGGCCCTCGACGGGTAGGCAGACAGAACGGAAAGCGGGCCCGACGCGACGGGCCCGGGTACGAGGGAGGGCGAACGAAGGAGCGGGCCCGACGGAGCGACCGGACGGACGGCCCGACGGGAGCGGACCGTAACGCAGACGGCGCCGAGGAGGCGACGGATGAACGGTCTCCTGAGGAGCGAATGACGGAGGCCGACGGGGAAAGCGACGACGTGAGCGGCCCGACGGCGTACGAGCGACGGGACGGCCAGTACCTCGTGAGCTGAACCGTGACGGACGGACGGCCACGACGGAGCGACACACCAGACGTTGGTGATATCGAGGGAGTCGGAGACGGACAGGCGACGACAGCGAGCGACGCGACGAGAGGACGAGGCCTTGACCGAGCGACGCCGGGCGACGGCTCACGGAGCGACGACGGCGGGCGCTGACAGACGAGCGAAGTACGGCGTACGGCCCGACGGAGCGACCGACGGAGCGACCGACGGAGCGACCGACGGAGCGACCGACGGACGGCCCGACGGAGCGACAGATGGAGGGACCTACGGGGCGACCGATGACGGAGGCAATTATTTCCTTGTATGTCCTCTAAAAGTTAAACAGATGATTGCTACCTAAACAGAAACAACATAATTACGTTCTAAGGAAACTATTAAGTCAATTTAAACAAATTAATTTTAAGAACAAATGCACATTGGCAGTTTTGCACCAGTAGTTACGTGTCTTTTTAAGTGCTACATGTACACTAATTTAAATTAATAACAGTATACACTTGTAAGAACTGCAAAAAGGTGCCAGATAATACATATCAATATACAAAATAAATTCATAGCAAGCATTTGCAAAGCAAAATTGCAAGGATGCTGAAAATCCTCACATTTCCCTATTACTGAATCAATTTCAAAAGCTGTGAAATACCAAAGCATAATCTATAAAAAAAATGTTTTGTACAAATATATTATGCAGACTACACTGGAAAACCATTTTAAATTTCTTACAAAGTTATTTTCAGATTATGTCACAAGGTTAATGAAAACAAGAAGGAAGTAGTAATAAACATGTATTGATGTTCAAATTATTTTCACACTATAGCTGTGATACTCACAGATAGAACATAAAATTGCTGAAAAGAGGTAAATGCAATTCTATTTTTATTTTTTTTATTATCTCCTTTTGAACACTCTATTGTACTTTTGAGAAATATTCAATATTGAAGATTTTATTTTCAATTTAAAATTTAGAACTACAAATTGGATGTTAATCATAAACAATTGTCACTAGTAAGTACATTGAAATCAAATTATTGAACCATACAAGTATTGAATTGATGAGAGTGTTGACCTTCTCATGTTGCATAAAGAGACTAACAAAGATCAATGAACAGTTATCCTTTTTGTTTTTTCCCCAGTCATAACTCCACAAAATTGTCTCTTCTTTGATTACTTGAGTTTAGGGTTTAAATGAAAGCAAATTACCAAAATAAATACATATATAAATAAAATTTTAAAAAAATAATAATAAATGAAGAGTACTTTTGTTTCAGAAATATTATGAAACTGTACATCAATTGCTTAATTCAGTATTTATTCCTTTAAACCATCTCACAATAATCTGATTTCCAGTGCCTTCTGTTTATAAAGAAAGCTCCCTATTGAGTATCCACTCACACAGTGAATTGCCTCACCTGCACTGGAGACTGGGCAGCAGTGTGTGTGTAGCCCCCCCGGGCTGCCGCTTCTCTTCGAGCCTGCTCCAACAGCTGTCGAGCCCTCTCACGCAGCTCGTCATGACGCGTAAGGATATGCTGGGTTACAGGCACGCACACACATCACACTCCACACAGGACGCAAATTAGCACAAGCTGAGGAGTCCTGGACCCCAGTAGCAGATATGCTAAGCAATAGCTAGCTGCAGTGTTTATTTCATCTATTTCCATTCCACACTATTTATAATTATCCACATTCTATATGACATGTACAGTTATGTACAACACTGTTACTGAAGTAACTGAATGCACAAGTCCTCTACAAGAACCATGTTTTAGATTTTCAGGTACTACTGGGGAAACTAAGTTTCCAAAAACAAAACTGAATGAAAAGATATTAAAATATCTGAGAAAAATATTTTCGTCATGCAGCTTTGGCTAGTTTAAAAAACTCTACAAAATTGAAGATTGGAATATACTTACATGTCTTTTCAGAGATTCATTATGAGTAGGTGAAACATTTGATTCTTTGGAATCTCCTCCATCACGACTAGTTTTGGTGTCTGATGAATGAAGGGATTCCTAAAGTCATGCAATAATTATGATACAATAAGACAGTTGATTCTACTTAGTCTACCTCTACAGTCTAAATCATTCATGTCTTATATAATATGAATTGATAGTACTTTTAACTACAACAATACATGCTTAAATTACATCTAAATATTTTACACATAAATTCACTATAAAATAAAATTATGTATCAATAGGTCATTCCATGTCATGTGGTCTAATTTTAGAGAAGTATCCCACACAACCTACTCAGATTTTGATGAAATTTTGGATGCTGAGTTCTTACACGACACAAAGGAACATTTGCGAAGTTGTAGCTTCAAATAGTGAGATAGAGTGTAGAATGACTACAAGAGGTTTGCAGTTTTGAGATAGAATATTTCCTTCTCAATTATTGCTAAGCAAATGAAACAGAGCTTGTTTGAATTTTTGTTTTCTCTATTCAAAGTAAAATTACTATACACTTTGCCTTTATTACCACTTTTAACATTGAATAGTTGGCAAACAAATCCAATAATATAGTGTCTTTAAAATGTTCTTTCTAAAGAGATATAATTTGAAACGGTTCATAAAATTACAATCTGTAAAAGTGCGCTGAAAATACACTATTTTTGTACTTTTGGCAAAAATCATCAATTTAACACCTAATTTTTTCAGAAATAGGAAGAGTTCAGAGCTAGGAAATTTCAATTTTACATTCAAAATCAATGTTATGTTGAGATATTAGGTGTTAAATTTCAATTTTCTTTTCTGAATATTGAGGAAACTACATAACAATAAACACTGGAATTTTATTGAACTGTACGCCTTTGATGGATATTCAAATCAACTTTATTAGAAGCTTCAAAATAAAACTCTTCTTTCTAATGGATAGGTTTGAAAGAATTTCTAGACAGTGCTTTTCTGTAAAAGAAAGCTGAAAATACCCTATTTGGAACTTTTTCCTAAAATCATAAATTACAAACGTATGAAGTAAGCTCAGAGGTTTCAAATTATACAGTAAGAAACAATATAATGTTAGTTATGAGCCATTTTTCGTACTCTAATATTACAGAAGCTATTCAATAGAAAAATCTGTAAGTTTTGTGTTACAATACCTTTTTTTTTTAGTGACTTTGCTGGAAAGGACTCGCGGTGTGATAACAAATGCAGGTTGACGTTAATGCCATTGTAAAGATCATAAAAGTTGTACAGGTAAGCTCAGATTCATTTCTTTAGCATTAATGGAGAAGGAAACACTGAATCCCAAAGTTGAAAAGTCTTATAGTTGTTCTGTAGGATAATGTTGCAAGGGGTCATACAAACCATTGCATCTCAAAAACTATTTCACCTATGAAGTTACAAAAGTTCCTTGGAGACAGATCTCGGCATACAAAATTTCATCAAAATCTGAGATAGTGTCATTAAGAGGCCAAGACCACTCGACATAGAATACCCTAGTAATAAATACACATCAAGTCAATTGATTAGAGTAATCATAAATCTCGGCAATATGAAAAGTTATCCCTATTGGTTCATCAGAGAATTGATAAATAAAATTAAGCTCAAAAAGAAGGCACATGCGAAATATAAAGATACAAGAACAAGGGTCGCTTACAAATGTTTCCGAAAATTGAGATCAGAATGCAAAAAAATCCATAAGAAATGTTACGACCTATACATATCGAATATCGAAGCTAAGATAAAGCTGGACACTAATCAGTTCTGGAATTACATTAAAAACAAGAGATGAAGCAATCTGAATATTCCATCATCAATGTCCTGGAACGAAAAAAAGACAAAAAACGGAGGTGAAGTGAGTAACCTATTCGCATTGTTTTTTGAAAGCATCTACGAAAATAGTCTTAACGATGAAACCTCCGAAACTATGACTCAGACAGAACTACAAACTAACCAGGATGCTGATCTTTCAGAAATTAACGTTTGTTTTTATAATGTTTATGATCAACTTTGTAGGCTAGATTTGAAAAAAGGTGCTGGCCTCCGATGGGATAGCAAATGTGTTCCTCAGAAACTGTGCTGTTGGACTGGCTGAGCCAATAACCCACATTTTTGGCAGATCATTGGAATTGGGCATCTTTCCAACGGCATGGAAAACTTCTTACATTAGCCCAATACATAAATCAGAATCCAGATCTACTGTGACTAACTATAGAACGGTTTGCATCCAATCATCCATATCTAAATAGTTTGAAAAGATTATTTTACCACAAGTGACCTTTCCTTTTAAAAACATTGTATCGACAAAGCAGCATGGTTTCATCAAGGGGAGATCCACAGCTACCAACCTTTATGTATATGTATATACATTTATGTATATGTTAATCAAATACTTGATGGGATGAATGAAGGTAAAGATGTACATGCAGTTTACACGGACTTCAGTAAAGCGTTTGATATGATAGATCATAACATGCTATGCAAATAAACTAAGTTGATACGGTATAAAAGGTAAAGCTCTGAACTGGTTTCGTTCTTATTTGACAGAAAGATATCTACAGGCTCGAGTAAATGGCCATATTTCGACTAAATATAAAGTAACCTCTGGTGTTCCACAAGGTTTGCACCCAGGGCCAATCCTTTTCATTAGGTTTATTAATGACATCGGTAATACACTAAAATCTGACTATTTGTTATATGCTTATGATCTGAAAATTTTTAGATAAATAACTGATGATGAGGATGCCAACATTCTTCAACAAGACATTAACGAACTAAGCAAATGGTGTAGGGTAAACAAGCTAAAGTTGAATATTGTTAAGTGTGTGGTGATATCCTTCACTCGTTCATTCCATTGAAGACCTATGGCATACCAACTTGAGAAACATCAACTTCAGGAAGTCGCATCTTTGAAAGATTTGGGTGTCATAATTGATAATAGATTGACTTTCTCGAGACATGTAGACAAGATCACATCAGAAGCCTATAGAATACTCGGATTTATACTTAGGTCGGGTAGAGAATTTAACGATGAGCGCACACTTATTCAATTATATTTGACATTGGTCTGTTCAAGACTTGAATACTGCTCAGTTGTTTGGTCACCATATACAAATCTCCTTATTGATAAAGTGGAAAAAATACAGAAAAAATTCTACAAATACATCACATATTACATGCAGAACAGAGGATATAATATAAGTGTCGAGAACGTCTTCGATGATTTCAACATCGACAGTCTAATAAACCAGAGAGAAATTTCGGATCTTATGTTTTTTTATAAGACTATCAATGGACAAATTGAATGCCCAGAGATATTGGAACAATTCCAATTCATATGCCCAAAACCAGGTTTGAGATCGTATAGGTTATTGAATGCAGTGAAATTGTCGAAAAACTACATATGTCGAGGCCCTAAAAACAGGATAGTTAGCCTGGTAAATAAGTGCCGTTCGGAAATCAATTTTTTTGGAGGTTCTACATCTACATTTTTATCAAAGATGAAAAATATTAAATTTGATAGATAAAGTATTGTATTTCTACTGATTACTGTATTCATTCAGTGTGCAATTAATTAATATTATAACTGCAAAATGGATAAAGTCGATTGGTGTAAATAAATAAATGTTGTACTATCTAAATAACCACAACACAAGATGAACTGCAAATCGTTTATGCAGTGAAACCTGCTCAAACAGCCACCTCAATAAAATGATGTCATTCATTAATAGCCATTTCTTCACGGCACTAATTGATTTTTCCATAAGATGTGTAAATGGTCATCTGGCTCAGGGGCAAGCATGTAACCACATTTTGTAGATTGACCTAAGGTAAGTGGTCACTTCTAGCAATTTTGAACATAAAAGAATAAGGAGGTAAAGAGCGGTGGACATTACTATCCATTCAGTATCTACCTGCAATGGAACACCTTGACAAATCACTAGGAACAGTGAATAGGTAGTTGCTTATCTCACAGAGGAATGAATGTCAGTTTCATATAACATTGTAATTTTTGTGAATGTCTATGAAATAACAAAGCTGTTTGCTTCACCCATTCTTTAATATCCTCATGAAGTTGGTTAATTCATCCTTCCTTCTGCAGGGATTAGTGAGTGCCCTATAGAGCATGGTGCATGTGCAAAACCGATGTGAAGGGCATTTGCCTACCCTCCTATTCCTGACTGCCCTTCTCCACGACAAAAAATTTAAATAAAAATGAAGAGTGCAAAAGATAAAACTGATCACAAAAGGATTAAATTTACCTATTTTAACTTCCTAAATCATCACTTTTTGTGCCTAAAATTCCAAGTTCTAGTCATAACATTGATCAATCAACTACCTCCAAAATCAGCCAATTTTCACTGGAATCATTAGTGGCTGCTTAAGACAGGTTTCATTTCAATGAATTTAATATTTAACAGAATCATAATAAAATTAACTTCTCTAAAAATTATACATACACTATCTTGTGAAGATTGGGATTTCATCATTTGAGAACTTTCTGTCTTCTTTTCCTCATTTCCACTTGGAATCCTACAAAAATATATAAAATCAAACCACAAATTTATAATTCACATAGAATGCAAGATACCTCACTCTTTAATAAATGAAAAGAATAATATTCACAAAATAGCAATTCTCTTTTTGCAAATCACCATCACATTCACAATTTGAAATAGAGATATCTAACATACAATTTAACAAAAAAGTACACATGATCAAGCAGTTTCACTGAAGGTGTTTTTCTCTTATAAATCCCATACAAATTATTAAAACTCTTCAGTAACTTTATTTAGACACAGTGATCACTCCTTCTGCCATGTTAACTATTATATAATTAAATGTTATTATCAGAATATAATTCACTCTGTACTTACAAGTCTTCTTCTTCGTCTGATCCAAAAGGATCTGTTAACTGTCTTCTGGTCATCAGCACAGGCCGAGGAGCTGTTGTTATTGGAGAGTTACTCTGTCATCATCAAGCAAATATTACATTAAAAACTAAGATATATATATATATATAAAATTTCAGATCATCCCAAAACAAAAATACTACATGTGAGCTACCTTTTCTCTTGTTAATTTTTCTTTAGTTGGTGATAATACTTTTCCCAGAATAATTTTGGAACTCGCAACAATTTTATCTTTCACATCCTTCACTGAAGTAGGAGATTTATCATTGTTATCTCCTGAATCATGAGACACAAGAGGCAGTCTCAACTTCAATACAGAATTTTGCCGAGTAGCTCGAGGAGAAAGAGCATTGTTTGTTTTGTTTCCTTCACTCTCAGCAGTCCCATCTGATTCCACAGATGTAGATCTAAAAGCAATTACAATAATGTGGAGAAAATATCTTTTATAAACAAGTTGCTTTTGCTTCTCGAAGCTTTCCCTTTTCATCAAAGAATAAATTGCACTTCATGTGTTCTCTAAAACATGCATGATCTAGTCTTAGAAATAGAATATAGTCTCCCTAGTCTTAGAAATATAATATAAGCCTAAGAAACACTAATCTCAGAAAAAACATTGTGAAAAAATTGTTTCTGGGTTAGACGAGTGTGGTTTAGACGCTTGTGTTGTTCACACATAGAGAGATGGGGAGATAAAAACACAAGCAAGTGGAAAGACAAACGAATGGGAGGAGAGATGAATGACAGAAAGAGAGATGGACGGACCAGAGAAGAGGCAGTGGTCAGAATGATGGAAGGAGAGACAAATGGAATGAGAGGGAAGAGAAATGGGATGGTCAGGAGAAGACAACGACAAACAGATGGGAGAATAGATGGATTGGCACAATCAGCTGATTGAATAGATGGATAGGCATATGGGTCACCTTTGTGGACTGACAGACAAACAGGACAGTAAGATGGCCAGACAAATGGAAAGCCAGTTGGAAAGGTGAATAGATAGAGAGGGGGTCAAACAGACAATGGTGGATGGTCAGGCACAACCTGATCAATTTCCCATTTCTAATTGGACAAAAATGCGAAAAATCAAGATTCTTGAAGAAGGCAAAAATCAATATTACTTCAAAGTACATTAACCAGAGCATAAGAATATGTGTTTAGGAACAATTTCACAACAATGTTGTTGGCACACTGTGGCATCGCCAGAAGTTGGTCATTGGTGTGCCTCTTTTATCTCCTTTAGCGATTCAACTAGCTTGTGAAGAAGTATATTTACTGTTCTCTGAAATTCAACTGCATCATCATGAAACGCTTTGATGCAAGTAAGTCTCTCTCTGGTAACACAAATTCTTGAAAGTATTTCCTAAAATTATACTGATGAAAACTATAATTTTACCTGTAAGCTTCACCTAGATGGATTTTACACGATACAAGGGTTGTGTACCTCTACAAAAGAGAACTTTGAAAATTGTACTGACTCATTACCACATTTGTGCTGATTTCATGCTATTATCCAAAACTTTGTGAGAAAAGCTCTTCTTTTGTAGGAACTGCACTGTCACGTGGTGTTATCACCCAGAGAGAACTGTTCGTGCATGAAGAAGTTGATGATCAGAATGTCATGACACTTGAAAATAAAAATAATCTATTTAATTACATTACACCATAGGATCTGACAAAATATCAAAGTCAACTGAGGAGGAAATTCACATGAAAATTAGAACATTCATTTACAATCTCACAAAGCATTGGAAACCATGTCACCATACAGAAATAAAGCTGTCAAGTAAATTTTCTGCATAGCTCAGTGAAAAGTTCTGTGTATTGAAACATTCAAAATCCCCAGTATGAGATGAAGTCCTAAGAAGCTCTTTCATGAAAGCAGTGAAAGAGAAAAGAAGAAAAAGATCAGTGACATGACATCAGAAAGAAGATCCTCTGAACTGTCATATGCTATTCAGTGTAGTTTCCAATTAAATGTTCTCCTAGAACTCTGGGTAAAATGAAGTGAGCAGCAGAATCCAATGTAGCAGAAGAGGACTGCAATTCTCCCGAAGAAGGACTAGGTTTGATATTGGATATAAAAATGACTAGTAATATGGACAAAATACTAAGAAAGAGTGTGCTCAGTAAAAATGTACTCTATCCTCACCACAGGCAGGGCAGGCAAACGGATGGTGCACTGAAGGATAGATGCAGTGAAACAAGTGGACAATGAGATAGTTGGAGGAATTTTGAAGAAAATACTTTCTGTATCAAGGTCTCTCAACAAAAGGTGTACTTGACTAATCTCAAGATCATTTTTAACCTAACTCAAAAGAAACTTTTGCAGCTAAACTAAGTCATTAAACTTGTATAAGAAAATCAAAAGCTCAAATATCTTTAAATGAATAGTAAATTGAAGTATTCACTTCACAAGAAACGTCACACTTCAAAATTTAAAGCTTAAAACATGAAAATTTATTTCAATAAATCCACTTTATTGTTTACAAAGAACATACACGTGATATAGATGTCTCTCAAGGTGTTTTATCCTATCTGATGTTAAAAGTCTTGTAAAGCATATGAATCCAATTAATTCAATTCAATTCTGCCTTATTTTAGGAGGTGAGACTCAGGCTAGCAGGCCTTCTCTACTCTCTAACACAGCAAATTTCCCCATCACCATCTAGCGGAAAAGAAGGTATCACCCAGGAGATAAAATAGGCAATGCGAATTTAGCTCAGAGCCATCTTTTAAGCTTTATCTTTTACATGCAGTTAATTTACAATACGAGACAGCCATCTCTACCGAAGGATGACACACAAAGGATTTTTTCAGCCTTACAAATTCACGGCTTTGATCGGGTTTGAACCTGCAAATTTGGATATCACAGCTCGATAGGCTCTTATACCACTGAAATAAGGGTGAGGGTGAAAAGCACTTAAATCAACAATTAAAAAAGATGATCATCATTATCATATTGAAGACAGATAGGACCAAAATTTCTCAGAAATTACAGGGCAGAGAAATTGCTTTAAGTTGGAAAGTTAATACGATACGTCTAAAATATATGTTATCATATGTTATACAATGTCTATAATATCTACATTTACATCCACAATGTATATGATTAGATGACTAAAATTTATGGAAGTTCCACTCATACAGAATGCTCTAGTAATGTATTGAGCGTTTTCTTACTCCAGAGAAAGGTGAAAAAATTAATGTGTCAAAACGGAGGAGTTCCGCTGCAGTGATGCATAGTTTACCTTCTATTGCTGGAACCAAGTCTTTGTCTTGCTTCTGATGAATCCCTTTTGCGCAAATTCATTATTTCTTGCCCAAATAACTGAACAGTTACATCAGTATCTGTATCTGTAGAGAATCTGCCAATCATGTATGAAGACTCGTCTGTAGTTTTACCAATTTGCTGTACTTCCAACTCATGACCTGAAAAAGTTATTTTGAATAAATAAATTCACAAACACTTAGTTGCATATTAGAAAAAACATTAGACGTACCTGTAAAATGAGCACGAAGCTGATACAGGTAAGTCATTACAGCCAATTTATCAGGAACAGCAAGCACATCCATATCTGCAGGTTCAATTACTCGGGGGATTCCAAGAGCTTCGCCAGCATCAAATGCTTTCTTGCAATTTCCTTTCACGTCATGTGGTATCAAGCTATCAAATTCTCTACACAGATAAAAAATGCACACATTTAGGTATTAATCAAATCAGGCACCAATTTGGAGTCTAAATTTGGAGGAGTTTGAGTAAGTTAGGAGGGGGGGGGATCACACAATATTCATTCAAACCAATACATATGAAATTATATTATCTCCTGGGATGTAATCAGCACAGTATAAGCATTCAAAGCAAAATTGAATAAAAATGTAGCCATTTGATGAAGGTGCTATTTCGATGAAGTTGCCTTGGAAGGGCATCTCCCAACCCTGACAGTGGTGAAGAAAGTGGTGCTTTCATGAAATGTTTAAAGATAGTTTCTTAGTGAATGGAATGAAAAAAGAACAGTTTCTATTATCTTTTATAGACATTTCCACGTCTTCAAGTAATACAACATTATGAATAACTGTGAAAATGCATTTAAGCTCAAAATATTATTTGAGGGGAGAAGGTGCAACTTCCTTTCCTTATAGCTGTGTCTACCAAACACCTTCTGCAACAACGAAATAATCAACAAAAATAGAATATGGAATTTCCTGTCATTTCCTCATCTGCTCTAATTTGAATTCCCAAAATATTCTTTGGTATGCTTCAAATGCATTTGACCTATTTTTCTACCAGCCCGTAACATCATATTAAGCCAAACTACTATGTCTTTGGCTTTGTTAATCTGTTATTTTCTCTGTGAGTTAAGTACTATCAGATAAGCTTTAGAAATTTGCATGTTCTCACCTTTCCTTTTTACTTTCTCATACACTACTATAGAGTACAGAGAAAGTATTATAATGATGCAATGATGATTATGTAAATAAACACTATACTATAATAATAAACACTTTTTTATAATGATGAAAATGAACACTTCTTGCTTTCTTGTTTCTTTTACCTATCATCCTAGACTTTTTCTTGAAATGTTTCAATGATGTTTGGAAAAGCTTGGTGACACCAGTCTGACTGTCATTATCTCAAAATTTACAACAATTGTACAAGTTAAAAAATTGCACTGTCTTTCTACTGCATTATGGAAGACGGGCTTCTTTCTTAATGAAATCTGCCCCTCAAAATTAGGTCTTGGAATGATGCTGTGTAAAATTTTTTGAGAATGTGAGTATTGTTTGCATAATTTTGAGTGAAATAGTGACTTTTTAATAGTAACAAAATCTTCTCAAAAATTGTTCAAATTTTTAAAATTTGTTTACTGAAGTACTGCAGCAATATTAAAGTAACAAAATGGCAAAGTTTGGATTTTTTTTAAACCTCTGAATTTTTGAAAATTGTAAATGTTCAACTTTCTTTTTGATGTGTTGGGAACATTGTGAAAGGGTGCTAACTCTGCCAATTGGTGTAGTAGTTAAGTTCGCTGCAAAATCTAAATACCCGAAGTTTGAATCCCAGCATGAGCAAACACTTTTGCACATTCAAATAGTTTTATAATGTTCTGTAACTTACAAATAATGCAAGAAAGAAATGACCAATTTTTATATGCATTTTTTTGCAATTTTTGATATTTTAATTTTTCCATAATTTTTAATGCACTTTTTGCTGATTTTATTGATTTTAATATAATTTTAATAGTATTTTCTTTAAATAATATTTACAAGATGTAAGAAATGTTTCTTCACTGAATTCCTGAGTAGCCTATTCCATTTCTTCATTCAGAAATTGTAATGACAGCTGTTGTGAGTATGTAATCTAAGGTGCTAGCGACACCTATCAGCGCCATTGTCAGTTTGGCCAATTTCAGGATAACTAAAGACAGATTTCCTGATAAAGAACATTCCAAACCAAAAGTATGCAAGCTGAGTTAACTTTAACGAAAGGAAGAATCTTGATTACATGAGCAACATATCCAGCGGCTTGAGTTGTTTATCCGTACAAGTTTTGATTACATTTTTTTACGTCACTTTTCTTTGGTTTTAGAGCATTTTTAAGACATTTTAAGAGCATTTTATTGATCATTTTTGGCGATGTTTTAAGTCATCAAAATCCACCCCCAACTTATCAATATACATTATAAATAGGAAAGATGTTGTTGATCATTAAAAGTGAAACTACTCAATAATAAGAAGCTTTACAAGTCCCTGTTTAAGGGTTTTTAGGGAGAATCAAAGGCAATATTAGGAAAAATGTGAAGCATATTATGAAATGTTCTAGCAACTTACATCAGGTCAGGCCGAAAGTGATGAATTACAGCACAAAAAGCAAGGCCATTTCTCCAGGATGTTGTAAGGTTAGTTACTCTAACTCCTTGATAGTCTTTTGTGACCTCTTTACACCACTCCAGGAGATCTTGACCAGGTGTAGTTTCTTTCAATTTGGGTGATTTATTGTTACCCTGCAAAAAACGTATGGAGTAATTCAACTGCAGTGGGTAATACAAACTGATAATTCCATTATATATTTATAGACTATACAACCTCTCGTAGGTCAAGTGGTTCCAGAGTGAGACGAATATTCTTCTGATCTTCTTCTACTTCTCTATAAGAAAAAATTATATAAAAATAACATTCCTCCCAGACTATATCATACACTCAGTTATTTATATCTTACTTAGAAGGTTCTCTTGCAGGTACAGAAACTTCATTTTCTTCAGATAAATTTGGCCCAGGAATAACTACCTCCATTTCAAGTCTCTCCTGGGTTGGTGTAGTAAGAATTGTGGGATGTTCAACAACATCTAAATTTAAGAAACTTTTGTTTTCAGAGGCTACTGGTGTTGGATCATCTTTCAAACAGGATGACAAACTGGCAACTGAAAAGAAAAACAGTGTTGTGTTTACAATGTATGTTGCATAATGAAGAAGAGTTTAAAATTAAAAACACTAATGCCAATTTGATACTTATACTTATTTTGTGTTATGACAGCTAAATAATTGTTTACACTGAAATCCTGCCCAGAAAAACTAATTGAGACTGCATAATTACTGGAAACATACTAACCACTTATAGGTGTACTGGCAATTTCTGATCCACTCAAACTGTTGGTCAATCTGTCAATCTGTGAGGTAATATTAAACATTTCCTGTAGCTTCTGACTTTGGCTTTCTAAGGGGAAAAAAATGCATTAATTAATCACCCTTCATTTACTCATTATTTTCATTTCCCAAATTTAAATAAAATAGACTGCAAAATACAGAAATAAAAATTAACCAAGAGTAGAAACAGAAATATCGAAAACCAAGATGTTTTCTTTAACGTATCTTTCACAGGGAAATAAAGTACTTACATGAAACAAGTAAAAAACTATCTGTCTACTTAACATCAAATAAACATAAACAAAACTATTTTCTGTTATGGCAAGTATTATGAATGAAATTAATATCATCAACAAATAATTATAAATGGATAAAAGTGTCATTAATGGTTAATTTGTTGTTATAAGTAGGGGGCAGATTTAAATGAATAATACATTTTTATTTGCATTTTTCTTCGAATTCAACTAAAAAGACATTTTTTACCCTAACCCATCATTTTTAAAGCATTTTTTGCTGATTTCATCAATTTTAATGCTACTTGCTTCAAATAATATTTATGAGATACAACATGTCCTCCACAGAATTTCTGGGTAGTCTATTCAATTTCTTTGCTCAGAAATTGTAATGTCAATTGTTGTGAGTATGTAATCTAAGGTTCCTGTGACACCATTGTGAATTTGTTCAATTTTGAGATAACTAAGACAGAGGCTTCCTGGCAGGAAGCAGTCCAAACCAAAAGTTTGCAAGCTTCACTTAAATGAAAAGGAAGAAGTCTCGACTAAATCAACGATATATCCAAGTTCCAACAGCTTGAGTTGTTGAAATGAACTGGTTTTGATAATATTTTTACATAATTTTTCTTTGCTCTTAGGACATTTCTAACACATTTTAAGAGCATTTTATTGATCATTTTTGGCAATGTTTTAGGTAATCGAAGTCCATCACCTATTTAAAGGGATATATTTAATTCAGAAATAGATGACTACATTAAAATTTACTTGCAAACAAACACTTAACTTTTACTTCAACCCTCACAAATTCATATAATTTGATTCATAATTACTAATTACAGTAAGATTACACATTATTAATTTCTTATCAATAACTTACTCCTTTAACTATTGATACAATACAATTTCAAGACATATTACTGTCCAAAAATAACTTCAAAACTGTTTGAGCATATATGAAATGTTAAGCTTCAAAGAAAAGAGCACCTCAAATTCAGATATAATTTATACTGATAACTTACATTGTTTTTGAAGAAGAAATTTTGTAGGAAAACACTGGAGTAAAAATTCTCAAAAGCAGAGATGCTGCAAACAGTCTCTGGCCCAAAACAAAACTTTATAGATTCAAACAAGTATACTCAATGAATCAAGCTTACCTTATGGTGAAGTAAAATGTAATTTACAAAGAGTTATGTAAAGAACATAGATTGGAAAAGTAAAGGAAATGCAAGTAAAATAGGACGGCCAATAAATTAGTTAATATGAAGCCCCTGAAATTTTCATGATTTTCTCCAATTATTTTATATTTCTCTTAAGATTCCATTCTCAATGTTAAGGGGTTTGGTAAAAAAATTCTGTATCTATATTCACTGATCTTGTGTTTTAATGTGGTGACAATTTGGTGGTATTTAAACACCAGTCACAGTTTATTGGTCTAAGAAGAATACAAGTGCAGCAAGTCACATTTAGACAACCAAGTGTAAGTAAATATCACTGGGACACAGTTATACACACAAGTTTACCAACAAAATGCAAGGAAAAAACAAACAAAAAAATGTCCTGTCTCTTCAACAACTTTTGCGCATTATACCAGATTTTATAACTTTCCACAATTATTTGAAGGTCTGTGAAAGCTGCATGGTAAAGGTCTATGAAAGCTATTTTTTCTTCTCAGACTATTTTTTTTAAAAAAATTAAGTAAATGGATATTTTTTTTAACTTACCCTCTTCTTCATCATCAAAATCATCCAGGGGTGCAATGTCACTGTTGTTGTTCACACTCATAAGGCTGGCCATGCTCTGCATGTCTTCGTCACTGCACATAATAGGGAATCATGAGATCACAGTCAATAATGAGCCTGAAGGTTGATCTCTTTAAAGAAAAATTATAAAGATCATGATGTCCTTCTTCACCACGAGACCATAACAATGTAAGCAGTTAATTTCATAGTGTATTTGTGGTTAGTCATTCATAACATACATGTAATGTTATGGAAATCAGAAGAAACATAAATAACTAGAAGTTTAGGAGATCCAGTTATGGGTAATGCCACTAACAGCATGGCATATCAGTGATTTAATTTACAGAAAACTCAAAGGCAAATTTCTTAATTGTCTCTTGTTTGAAAGTGAAAACATTCAAATTAATGGTGTTATTGTTGAACATCCAAGTCGAAATATTGCGGCAATCTTACGTTGCTTTGCCTTCACGAAGGAACACACAGGACAAGGTACATTCCATGGTAGCTCCCACAATTTTCTTTGTTGTAGGTTTAAAGGTGAGTTGCAGCTGACTCTGTGTTGACTCAACACTAGCATATTTCCGCATATTAATACTTGTGGATGCCACCTGACGCCGCTTGCCATTTTGAGCCACCTAGGAAGTTAAAGAATTAAATATTACTTCCAATACCAACTACTTGCAGTTGAAGTATACTACATAAAACAAATCATATCATACATCTTCAAGTACAAAAGTCCAATCTTTATCTTCAAGCTCTTGTGTTCTAGGATCTTTAAAAAGCGTCACTGAAACTTCCTTATTTTCAGGTACAGCCCACACTACAATGCCTCGTAGAGGCTCTTTCATAGTGGGCTCCCATGGTAAAGGATCAGATATGACTCGGCGACTACGTCTTGTCCAAACTACACTTAATTTGTGGGGTTTCCTAAGGATTTAAAAAAATGTAATTCATACATGGAATTCTCAATCTATTTTAACTGATAAGAAAATACAATACGAATGCTTACCATTTAGGTGTTGTTTCTAAAGTCACTTGATGATAAGATACAGTAAACTGAAATTTGGCTGCACGTTTATTAACTCTCTGCAACCTTTTCCACACTGAAGTCATTATTTCCGTTGAATCATTGACTTAAGTTACAGAACACATGAATGTTGGAACCTATAAATGTTGACAATTATTCTGTAAAACACAAAATAAGGGTGATATCAATGTAACTTCTCCACCCAAGGTCATTTTAAGGCAAAGCATATATACTGCTTTTCTTCTTATGGAAGGTCATTCTTCACGAACTATATTACATATGACTGTCATTTGCTTAATGCAAGCACTCACACGATTACCGAGGTAAAATCACATTCAAAATATACACAGCTTTCACGATCATTTCACGTCACAAACAATTCGAAAATTTCTTAACTGGACAAATATACACTTCGTCAAGGATCTAAAAAAAACTTAGTATGTCAAAACCACGGTCTCAAGGTAACAACAAATAGCTTCCTGTCAATTATTATGAGTCACCTTCCAAAATAATCTTACATTACCTCGTAAAAAGTATTTTGGCATGTAGTTCATCTGATGCAAAAGATGCTTTCTCTTACACAACAACCAACTGATGCATAACATTCCACAACGACATTACTCGCATTTTCAATCTAACCCAAAACAACTTCCTTTAGTAAATGTCAAATAATTCTTGGTCCTTTTAACAGCCTGCCCGGACATCCGCAAGAGCTCGATAAACCCCTCCCCAACAATCGATAGCATGTCTCGATGACTGTAGAATTAGGATGTGAACGATAGGACGTAGTGAAATGAAGGGAATGCGAGTTGTTGGGAGTCGACTCGTCGTCCACCATTGTCCACCGTGGAATTTAAGTACGTGTTTATTGGCGTGTGCTATTGTTTGGGTGCTGCCGTCCTCTCAGTCCGCTTAAAATAATTTGAATGGGGTGTGAATTACGTGTTAAATGTGCACAATGGGAAGGCATTCAAGAAGTTACATGACCTGTGCGTTTATAAGAAAAACTTTTCGAACAGTTTGAGAACAATGCAAGATGTTCGAGTCATCAATAATTGTTAATGAAACGTAACATTAAGTTCGTTTTCCATGTTTATTTCAAGTGATGTCGGACTTTGTAACCAAATAAGCATGAACGAAGCTTTGATGAGGCCAATAGACGGGGGAACGGAGGGGCCTGACGTTCTTATAGGCGAGGTTCCCATGATTCAGTGTGCAGTACGACAGCTATCTCGCTCAGAGGAGCAGAGAAGAGCTCACGCTGAGCGTGAAAGAATTCGGCGCCGATTTTTGACTGCTGAACAGAGACGTGCACATGCTGAAAGGGAAAGGCGACGTCGCGCAAATATGACACCTGAGCAGAGACGAGCCCACGCTGACAGAGAACGAGCCCGGAGAGCCTCTTTGACACCTGAACAGCGAAAACATCGCGCAGAGAGGGAGAGAATACGTCGAGCTGCGCGGACTGCGGAACAGAGACGAGCGCATGCTGAAAGAGAGAGAAAACGACGAGGAGCAATGACGGATGAACAGAGAAAAGCTCACGCTGATCGCGAAAAGTTACGACGCGAATCAATTGTTAGAAATAATGAACAGTTTCAGCTTTGGAACCAGTACAACATGCATCCAATGCCAATGTGTGAAGAAGGAATACGTGTTCCATATCATCCTCAATGACTAGATGTAGCGAAACAAATCGCAAAATATACCATCAGTTTTAATGTGATTTTTAAGAAGACCATATTAACGTCATTTTGCCTTTAAGCTCATTTATATATTACTCATCTTTTGACTACGTCAACATGAAAAGTAATGCATTAAGTACCTAGCTGTAAGACAGTGTGTATGGGTTCTGGAAGTTCCTTGTTTGTGAAGGTTTTTATCACACATTAAAGTGACTGTATTAGATCATAAGTGCACCTCTTCAATCTACTTACGTATCTTGATATATAAAAATTTCTTTAAACAAATTGTAAATTTTATTACCAGCAGCTAGAATTAGCCCTTCCACAAAGTCACTAAATTAGATTTTTCACTATCATTGTTTAAAAAAGTATATTATTAATACTGATTATATCTGTATTAATATTCACCACTTTAAGGGACATTTGAAAAGTTATTTTATAAATATTACATAAAATGTGCACAAACTGTTTAACAACACATATTATTCTCAGTTTCCTATTTTCACCATGTTTGGCATATTTTGATATATCAGTGAAGTACATTTGTACTGGGAAGCTAAGCCAGGTCTTTGTCAATTTTTTTATGACATAAGATTTTCTCATTTTGCTAGTGGATACATTCAAGAGGAGTAAAATAGTAGAACTGCATAGTGTGTTGTCATATTTCTTAATGGGAAACTCGAAGATACAGGCAGCTTAGAGTACAAAGACCGTGAATATAATTCATACCATTTCTGAATATATGGTTGAAATATTAATTATCACGTTTAAGTGACTTCAAAATTTCTAATCTTCAGGCTTTCAATCTTCATGATATTTACTAGTTCATATCTCCTTGCAAGCAACTTATTCATCTGATTTAAATTACAGTTACACAGTGTTGGGATTGCTTTTGTGGATTTAATCGAAAAAATACAAGTGGAATATTACACATAAAATGGAAAGATGGTACATTAGTTTTTGTCATGTTATCATGTATCTTAAAAATTTATTTTTATTTAATTTTGAAGAAAATAATGTTGCTAAGCGTCTTTCATTTACCCGAGTATTTGAAAATGTATATTGTAATTTTAGTTTTTTTAAAAAGGCTGAATATTGCGCAAGTACATTTGTACTGGGAAGCTAAGCGAGGTATTTCAAAAAAGTAATCAAGAGTAAATTTTATTGGTCCAGTTTATTACTTTGCAAAGGAAATTATGGACTCCCATTTTTGTGAATAAATATATGTTAATTTTAAGTGGTGCTTGACACGAAGTGATTAGTTTAAGCATTAAGATGTAAATAACAAATTATCATTCTTTAGGTTTGCAATTAATTAAATAAGACCATCGTAATACCACACAATTAAGTCTAGACCAAAGCTTAATGACGCAGATAAGAGCAATCATTTCTTAAAGATGACCACACAAACTTTGTGATAAGAAAAAATGTAAAAAGATTCAAGAAGTTCTAAAATATTATTTTGGTATGAGAAATTAATATTGTGTAATTTGTTCACTTGAAATTAAGTTGTTTAATTCTTTTATTCACTTTTCCCACAAAAATTTTAAACTAACATTGTGAAGTTTTCAGGTTTGTTAATGGAAGTAATTGAAATATTTGTAATTATTTAATCCTTTCGGTTGCATTGACAGCTAGAACTCATTTATAAACAATGGCCAATTTTGTAAATCTACTAAAATTTTTTTGTTTTTCCTAATTGATAGCAAAGTTATTTATTTTTATTTCTTTCAGATTTCCATATTGATTTTCATTCAATAAATTTCTGCATATATTATTTAAGCTAATTTTTCTGAAAATTATTGATAATTTTAAATTTACCAGTAGCAAAACTTAGAAAACTTGAGTTACTTGAAGTAAAGTTTATATTCTTGACCAAAATTTTATATACAGTTGACTCATTTCCTTGAATTTTGGACTATCAAAGTTATTTAAGGCAATTGAAAACAAAAACTTACTTAAAAACTGGGGTTTCAACAGGCAAAATTAAACTAATAACAGGATGCAAACACTGGTATTAATTATTGTTTTAAGGGCTAATTTCAATATTTAAATTGTAACAGGATAAAATGAATTTTGCCATTTTAAAGAATGTTTGAATGAACCTTTATTTGTAGACATATGCTCACTAAGCCAACAATTACAAGTAACATATGAATAGTAGCTGAAGATTTTTTCTCATATGTACTGAAAATGAAAACATTCATTTTTTAAATTAATTATTTCGTATTTGATTTTGAAAAAGGTTTTGGAAGTAGTTAAGTAATATAAGTTACTGACAATATGTATACAAAAAACAATTATGATCCTCAGATAAATCAGAGAAAATAAAACCAGAGGACCACTGGTCTAAGACTTCATGATCTGCTTGTGCTTGAGGTCCTGAAATTCCTTTTTGTTTCTGTAACCAAGAATGAATTTTAAAGAAGATTAAATACACTTCACTAAGTGGAATATTATTGTAAAATATTTTTTATAAAATTTGTTTCTACTGAAATGAGACTGATTTGGAAGATCGCATGTTTTCAGTTAGCATTTAATAAGTTGAATGAAATCTTGTGAAGTTATTGCATTCCTTTCCAAAAAATATTAAGTGTGTGTCACCCCTTTGTCTGTCTTCTCTAGAAGTATCTGCTTCAGTACATTTAATATTGTTTTTTTACTAAATGACACCCCCCTTTTTGTTTATAATTTTCCTCAACTCAAAAACAAAAAAAAATTGGTACCTATTTTATTCTTGATTCAACTGTTGTCTCATTCATTATATCTTAACACTTTCCTGCATGCATCCTTTTACATGTATAAAATATTAAATTATTGGTTTGATTTCTATTATGCAAACAAATGTTCTCTGCGTATACTGGTCATAAGAACAGCAAATGTCAAAGAATAGGGGCATAACTTCATTTCCTCATTGCCTGCTAGGAATACACAAGTACATATTTCATTATTATTTAATGTTTTGAGAGTTCACCTTTCATGTCTTAAAACAGCACTGAACTAGTCACATTATGAAATGATTTCTGTTGCTTGGCAGATTAAGTTTCAATGTTATTTCTTGATTAGTATACAGTTATTTACTCAAGAGTATTTTTAGTGCTAAATGTATGATGGGTTTAACTGGAAAGATCTATTTTTACAATGTATTGTCAATTACATAAGGAGTTTTGTATTAACTGTTAGTTATGTGTTATAGATGTACATTTAGTTAATTACAATATACCTTAAAATGCTTTTTTATTCGAGAAGTGTTATGCAGTCAGTTCTAATACTTTTTTATTATAAAAATCAGTGAGTGTAATCTTTGGTGATGCAAATTCACTCGAAGAATGGTTTCACATGTGATAATATTCTCAGGGATTATTACAGTTTTTTCAATTCTGAATCTGTCATTTCATCTCATTCTGTATCATAATTACTTGAGTGCAATGTTATATAAAGAAGCTGAAACTTTTACAAGTTATATCTACAGTTTTCTGTAATTATTATAACCTCCCCTCATTTTAAAAAATCATTTCCTTCTCCATTTGTTGGTTCCTTTTACTGCTTTGTTTATAATAGTTCTATTCTTAGCTTAGTGTTATTTTATTTCAAATGAATATTATTGCTTACTTCTAAGAATATTCACATCACAAAATTAGAAACTTATGCAAATTCTTTAAGGCAGTGTTTCACAAACTCTTTCACTCCAAGGACCACTCCAAGGCTTTACAAATATGTGTACATACTTCATTATAATCAATGACTTTTGATATAATACTAATGGGAATATTCTGCACTGATTGCAATACCCAGACGTAAGTATTTTAATAAATGATACTAAAGAATCTATAAACAATTGATCAAAGGATGATCCATGCTTTAAAAAGAATTATAGTATACTTTCAATACCACAGACTACCAGTCCCATCACTGAGATTTGATTGAGAAATGCTATTCTTACACACTATCAGTTTTGGAGATGAAAGAAATTTTTTTAGTATCTCTACTTTTCAGGAGAAAATTGTTTGCTGAAAAGAATTTATCAATTTTATTGCCTCCAGATTTGCATGAAAATTAAGTATTATCAATACTATTGTAATTTGCCCATGCTTTTAATTTTAATAACCATGCATGTCAATTTCTTGGGACCATGCAACATGCTCATAAGTAGTCAATTTGAATACAGAAAACTTTAAAGTGTGTAAAATATGCTGATGTATGCTACAAAATTGTCACCAAAACCAACTGATCAACTGAAGAGGTGGTTAGTAGGACACTCAACCAAGAACCAATTTGCTGAAATAAAGAATTTACTGATTGAGGGAAAGTAAGCAAGAGGATGTAATTTCTTTAATTTTATAATTCCTCCTCAAGCATACCAAGTATGATCACAGGTGAAATTGTTTATAATCAAAAACCGTAACAGTGATTCACAATAAAACCTGCTTTAACCCCTTTTGATGTTGCAAACAACATACATGAACAATTCTGATTTGTAGCTATGGAAGGAAAATGGATATGAATATTTAAATATGAAGGTATAACAAATTATCACAATCATGAAATTAAATATTTTATTTCCTCACTGAAGGTATTCAGAGATTCAAGACAAGACTCATGAACATCAAACAGGCTTGCAGAGAAGTAAAAAAGAGATAACGAATGTACAATATTATTTCTGTACAAAATCTGGTGTCAACATTTTGCAATTTCCAGTCATTGCACCTGTCAGAATTCATAAAACACACACAAAGTATAACAAGATAAATTAAAAATTAAATACAAATAAAAACAGAAATAAATAATTATTCAAGGTTAACAAAAAAGGACTTTTATAAAAAAAGAGTACTTCTTGCTTATCACGCACAGGACATACTCAACAAAGTCATACAATACCCTACAATTCGCACTGACCATTTGTTTGTGATGAGAGTACATCTAAAACATGGAATATAAAATCCATTACCAACCACGTAAGAAAACAAGATACCTTACAAATACATAATTAAAAACACATATCTGAAGATCAGATCTTGCAATACTAGTATCTTGAAATGTATGTTACAGAAACATACGAATCAAGATATCAGTTTACAAAACAATACATACATACAATTTCCACAGTACGAAATTATGTAATAAATATTCGAGACAACTCAGGTTCCTACACACGTGTCCACTTCCTAGTCACACACAATGTGTAATGACAACTATTCTAATCAGCACTGTCATGTTAATATTCTTTATAAATATGGATATAAAGGAAACTACGATGATTGATACAGAGGACTGTAGTCACGTAAAATATAAGTAAACGAAGATACCGGACCCCCATAAATGAAATGCAATATTATGAACTAATTAGACAAAGTCTCAGAAGTAAGTTCATAAATTTTGTTTGCCATGGACCTTAGCTCCTTGCAAGGTGCTCATGAGGTAGGGTGTAACTTGCTACCCACATCTCAATCTGGTTAATTATTACAACACACAGCACAATATATCATCACCTATCACATCACTAGAATCAAGTCATCTGAAAACTTAGACATTGTAAGTTATTGGTATAAAACAGTTTTACAAATGTTATAAATAAAGATATTGCTTGGCAACCATTCTGTATCATTAAAAAAAGTATACTTTCATATACATATATTTATGTTGTACTAATTAAATATAAGGAATACAGCAAGCAAGTGAAATCCACCAGACTCGACCTGTGATGAACTATGTACAAAACCTCAGTGGTTAATTAGAGTTAGTTTAAGTACTTCACCACATGGGGTCATAAAATATTGATTAGATTAAAGGAAACATTAAGTCCTTAAAATTACTATGGTAAAATAAAATACTGGGGTATATGTGACTAAATGTTAATTGGGTAAAATCAAGACAAATACAATTTGTGACTTTCTACCACAAATAGACTGTGTGTGCCTATTCATGTATTTGTTTACATTTAATACTCTCCCTGGATTTCCCTCTCCCACCAACACATTTTCAAGACTCAACTACAAAACATTGCCACCAATCACTTCCCATCTTGATGCTTTGGGTATTTAATACACAAAGGCTTGGGGCAGGCCCATGGAAGCACTTACTCACCCAACACGCAGAGGGGAGCAAATGGTGATGGTGATGTTTGTGTCTCTGCAGTTCCAGTTGGCTACTGGCAGGTTGCAAGCATATTAAGTCCATTGCAAACCCACTGTATGTATGAATGAAAAGCAAGAAAAACAAAAGCATGAAATACAATGCTGTAACTACCTAGGTTTTCTTCACAAACACTTGTCTTCACAATCTTGTGAATGATTCCCTATTCTACAATAACTTTTTTCAGTAACCAGACCATCAGCAGGTAACAAAGATAAATGCAAATGTAGCAGACCTTTGCACAACAGAACAACTGCTGACCTAACTTACTACCAGATTGTCTAACTGTCATAACTTGAAGAGCCATGATCATGCCCAGGGCTGGGAGGCGTACTAGGATTGCTGCTATTGTTGGAAGCTATAGAATGGCGTGGACTGCCACCGCTCACCCCCTGATCCTGCAAAAATGTAGAATTAAGACAACAAGGTCAAATTTTACTTTGTAATACTTATTCAATGCATCTATGTATCAAATGTGAGAACTTCTTTTACTGCTTCTGACTGCATTTGACTTAGATCAAAGAAACTTCAAAAGAAATTGAATTGTAAATAAGATAATATAGCATTGATAATCTGTTGCAAATAAATCATTTGACTTCTCAACACAATGAAATCTTAAGACTGGTGTCATTATGTTACAATTTACTTCAAAAACTGTATTTAAAATTTGTAAATGAAACTATAAAGCATGATTTTTCTTCACTTGTAATTGCATTGGTACTAGCATCACCAATTTCACAGAATTGAGCAATTAAAAAATCATCTTGTATTTATTTGGAATTTCTCTCCTTAAATTCCTTCCTGAAACTATTGATAACTTGTACAAAAAATTAAAATTTTTCACAATAGACAGTGCTTAAATCTATATATCGAACACAACTCAGTTCAATAAATATTAAGGTGCTATAGCCATCATATATCAAATTCATTGATGACCAATTAGAATTATTATGAAGAAAAACATATACCATCTAACTCATATAATTTTCAGTTAAAATAGTCATTGCAGTGCATGGACAGTGCAATATAGTGAAGATAAACCAACAGATTTACATTACTTGAAAGAATTCACTGAAGACTACAGAACAGTAAAGAATAGTGTGACACTGAACCTACATCTTTATTTCTCTCTCTTTTTCCCCCTTCCATTAACTGTAGAAAAATACATTATAATACAACAGAAATTAACCTAATGACAAGGGTGCGTTGCATTTTTTTTATCCTCCAAGAAAGTAAAAATAAAATTTTAAACATTAGACAATAACTGATGAAAATTCATACAATTATTGAACCAAGAAATGACTAATGTTACATATAAGAACAGTAAGATAATGACAGTTGTCTGTTCCAGTCTTATACGAACAACAAAACCGATAACTTTCAAATGTAACTTAAGTAGCTACAAGACAAAATAATTTATTACTTTTTTAAGGAAATTAGTCTTATTTGTTTTATTGTTATTTTACAATAAAATTATTGTTTTCATCCACATTTTGTGCTATTGATATACATTTCAAACATGGAAAACAAACACGGTTAAAATGCCAAACGTAATTTTCCTAAGTAACACAAAAATATTTATTTCATTCAATGAGCATCTCAAAGAAGAACAAGATTTTTATCAGTAAGAATTTTGCTGTATGATTACAGCAATGTTACTACATAGTACTTGGTCTATAACATGGTTTGGTAGTCAATAAGTTTTGTCCCTACCAATTTTCCTATCATAGCTATTGCTAAGTCAACAGTGAAAACATCACGCTGGAATTATGGTTCCTTCAGGCCAGAAGACGATTTGTTTTGCCGGTTCTAAAATGATGGAGCATTGTCAAAGAGCGCATCTCTAAGCAAAATATGTTTTCTTGCATGCCATATAGATTGGAACACCAGCTGATAGTGCCTCAAGGTGTCAGTCTGTACGCGTAGTTTGGGCTTAGGGATGGTTTTAATGAGTGACTTACGTGATTCCAATACCGTCACTTCAAAGAATTTTGCATAAATTGTCTTGGAAACCAAATATGAATATGTAAGGATGAGAATAAGTGGAAGTAAATGGAGAGACCATAAATACCGAATTTCACAAAACCTGTATTACTTATTTTCATCACTCTTCACAACAGCTAAATTTTAATCACAGAATTATGCAGTAAATAGTATTTCTTAAAAAGAAAGTAATTAAGTGTTCTTTTATAAGTAACATTCAAGGAACATAAATATACTGACATAATGTATTCTCTTGTTGCATAATACCATACCATCCACCATAATAATACAGGATAAAATAGCTCAAGCATAAGTTTGCCAATTTTTGTGAAATATATGCATCATTACTAGTCACCAACCATGCCCCCAATTAGGTTTGACATCAATGAGTGTCTAAAAAAATTGTTCTAATGACTGAACAAACAATATACTAGTACATTCAGAAATACACAATACCTATCACAATCTGTCACCTAAAGGAGCCTATTTCACCAAAACTCACCTTGCACACTTCATGCAGAGACGGCACACTGCCCAGACTCAGAGAGGTATGATGGAGGAGGCCAGAGGAGTCTGCGTCTCCTGGAGGGCCTTCTGGGGACCGGGGTAATGAAGGTGGGGTCACTGCTGGCCTGGGAGGTGCTGCGGGCCGACGAGATGTGGAACCTACAACAGAGGAGGAGCTTCCTTCACATGTCCCCCTCCTGGGCCTGGCTCGAGGAGACGCCAACCAATCCCAATTCCCTGGCTGTACGTTCGTACCATTGTGTCCTGAATAACTTGGGGGCGGACGTGGCATGTGGCCAGACATGCGGCGTTGTTCAGCAGCGTGTGGGGGATGGCGTGGAGGGGGATGGGCCATTTTACTTGGATGAAACAGCTGCAAACACACCACCATATGTGTTATGCTAGACAGGTAAGTGAGTTATGAGACATAGTTATAGCAGTTATGAAGCATAACATGTACAAGTCGTACTACGTAAATTCAGCCAAGGGCGTGGGATGAATTTAAAACATCTCGCATAAATGTCTTGTTTTTAATTTTAACTTCATGCATATTAATCATAACTTTAAAAGCTAATAAATATTTAAAACGTCTTCAAGACAAAGTTACAATAAGACACTAGCAATTCACTATAGAAAAGCAAACAGCTATTCAGATGCTATTTCTTTAAGGACTGCATGATCCAATTTATTACAATTTTCGTCAAATGTATGGTATTTTGAAAATAGTACCTCTAGTTTGAACTTTTTAGGTAGATTTGTATTGGTGAATTATTTTATTCAAAACAAAAAAGTATTTTTAAAGGTAGGGATCATGCTCATAAAATGGAAAATTTATCTCTTCTGTATATAATATTTTGAACACAATATTGAACAAAAAAATTGCAATACTTAATAAAGTGGAAATGTTAAAAGTTCCAATACAATATCCGCAGCATCAGACTTCGTTAATGCTGTGATGGCTACTATCAAGATCTTTTCCTGTGATTATGTCCCACATCAAATTCAAATATAGCGAGTCTCTTGAAAAATCTCAATAATTTTCATTGGCTGATGTGACATTGAACGACTCATAATGTGAATATTAAGGAAAACAAGTTAGGGACCTTATCACATTAAATGCATACATACATTTATGACAGCAATGCATACAATAACTTTTACAAATAAAATCTACTCAAGCAGCTACCACACTTTAAAACAAATTTTTGAACTATCTTAAGACTTCATATGAAAAAATAGACTGATTCCTCCAGAAGCAAACTTTGGCTTGGAAGAAGTTCATGGCAGGATTCACATTTAAACTTCTCTGTACCATAGCCTAGAGATAAATTTCAGATTCAAGCCAACGAAATGTTCAAATACTGGAATTCAATGAATCAGACACTTACCATGGCACAATCTAAACCTAATTTTGAATCACAAAGAAACATTTCAGTCTTATAACATGTGCTGGATGCAAAATGGAGGCTTTTATCTCTCATATATTAACTTGCATAAAGTATACAGATGAAATCGAGAAAGCTAAGTAATGATGTAAAAACTTGGTATCTAAATTTTGACTCAAATACTTGTTCCCTTTGACACAAATACAGAAAATATGTTAGATTTCTTTCAAAACATATGTTAAACTGTCTGAACAATTTTTTGAAGAAACAAGTGATTTTCATGTATTTTTTGCTCAAAGGCAATGCAATTTAAGTTATTTCTTTCTTAAAACCTCTAATAATTTCTCTAAATATTTTTTTTTAATCCAGATAAAGGAAATGACTCATAGAAAAATGCTGAAGATTCCAATTTCAGCAAACTCTCTATTTACCAAAATTGCAAAGAAAAATATACAATGCAAAACTACAATCCTCATGATATATATTTTTTTCCCGTTAATGAAATATGCTCTTTAAAACTATCTTGAAATTACAAACAACGAATATCTCTGAATTTTTAAAAATTGCAAATACAAACCATTCAACTTATATACGAAGTGCTGCAGCAAAACCCAGTAATATTCCAACACAAAAACTCTTATTATTGGGCCCTAATACACAAAAATGAATAAATGTTTTCCAACATGTAGTAAATTATTTCTTTTAACACGTTATGAAGTAAGATTTCAAGATTTATGGGTCCTTAATCCCAAACAATTGATTTACGAGAAAAAGTCCAATCATCTGTGAACAACACTAGTGCCTAAATTATTCATAGAATTTTCCCATAAAGAATATAATGTATTCAATCTGCCCGGCACAGAGCTCTAACAATTTCAAACAATATTCTTTTCAGTTTGGGTGTACTTTACATAATACCCCTGGGACATAGTCAAAACTTTCTAAAAAATTGCTCAACTTTTTTTCAGTAAATTTCTAGCAAGAATAGAGTGAAATACCCTAAAAAATGTATTCAATTTTATTCAATTACTTGAATGAAAAGAATGCAAATGATTACTCTTTCTGACAATTATACAAGTCTGAAGATAAACTCTTAATTCTACAACTTCCAAACTACAATATCTTACTTTTAAAATACTTACTATAAGGTTTATTGGGAATCACAGAATGTCTTACCCTATATTTTTCTTTTTCTACTCTGGTCTTTCAATAATTTAGCATGAAATTATAAAAAGCTTGCCAATCATTAATTCATACACCTTTGGAAGAGAAGCAAAATAGTCTATTCAATGTTGTATATTTTTGACACGTATAAAGGACCTCATGTTTAAGACTGCTCTGAGCAACATCTGAACAGCCTTTCCTGCTCCATGTAACAACTTAGTTCATGGCCAAATAGCACTGTAGCACCACAACTATCCAGCCACATTATTATCTTATCACAAAAGAAACTATAATTGCTAACATAGAGATGATCAGATTTCTTCAGGGCAGGCTCACAGCCTAATCTGCAATGTTAATGATGAAAGCTAGAGCAAGTTTCTTACACTGTGATCCAAGCCAAAGATTGTTTTGGAATTACAAAGGCAGTCATACATCTAAAATATGTATGACTTTAGTAACTTGAACCATTCACAGGGCACCATATGAGTGTTAAAACTTAAGCCATAAAAATCCATTTCCAATCAAACAGATGCAATAATATCAGAGTTACTAAGAATTTTAGAACGGGTATTTAGGTCTCCCAATTTAAAAAATGAAAATAAAAAAATTATATCACATTATATACTTAACAAACTGCTTGAATAGATCACGAAATAGTATCATGTTACATTCAAGACCTCATGCATCCAGTTTTTAAACTACAGCAAATGAAAAGAATGAAAATTGATTTGTTAATGTTAAATAGTCATGAACGTTATGTGTTCTACATAAAAATAAGCATGACACTCACCCGCTGTTGACTGCCCTGTAGTTGGCTGGCCTGCAGCTGTTGAGGGCTTCCGACTGGCTGATCGGCTGTTTCTAGAGTTGTTGGTAAGTCAAGAAGGCGTTGAATTTGAATGCCATCACCAGGACCCATATGACTAATATGATTGAAGTTCGTAGGAGCAGATATCATCTTCGACCTCCTATCAGTCCTAAAACAATGTTTTCATCACTTGAAACATTGAGATAAGATTGACAACACTTGTTCCATGAGCACAATTTTCAATTTTGAATATACGTAAACTAGGAAGTAATATTCTTTCAGCTGCTTATGTGACCCCAAACCTTAATTAGTAGAGGAAATGTTTTTTGGAGTCCTTGAATCACCTAGACAGGTAAATTAACACTTTCAATAGACATATACTACATCCACAATTTTAAATCTACATACTACATCCTCAAAGCAGCAACAACCCCAGTGAGTCCAAAATATGATAAATAAGAACCTTTCATGAAATAATGCATGGCAGTGCTTTTGCAAATTAAACATAACTGAACATAAAAGTGTTGAATTCAGTAACTTACGTTCTTGCTGCACGATGTCCCTCTCTTAATGAGAACCTTCGACGTGGACGTGGCATTGGTCTACCTGAGGCATCATATTGAGTAACATTGATGAGTTCATCTGAAAATATAACAAATGTACTTCATTATTCACATTATTAAAAGGTATTTCAGTGTGTAAACTTGTAAAGACCTATCTTTGCACATGCAATTAAAGCACAATACAGCATAAGAGTATCAGGATTATCGCTACATTCACTTCAAAAAAACATCAAAATATTATCAGCACAAATTCAATTTCATTGAACGTGTTGATATTCATTGGCCATTTTTACATACTTTCTCTTAGTTCTGGTTATCTTTAATAAGAATTAAGTTTTAAATTGGTTGTCACTATTATATTTTTTTTTAAATGTTTTTCAGTCTTTTTTTAATTTAGGATAACAACCATAAAAATTTCCATCCAAAATTTTTATATCATAATTTTATTTTATGTAACCCTATAACATTTTGGAGACTGTTCAGTCTCCCTAATCAGTTACTTAACTTAATCACATATGTCTTTGTATATTTGGCAAATGTTTTTGTACATAATCCATTTGGTTTTCAAGTATATAACAAGTGAGCTTACACTGAATTGGGTTCAGACTTAGTTATTTTATTGTAGTATTTTTTATGTTCTTCCTTCATTTAATGAATATCGTGAAAAATCACTTTTGCTTCTTCATTCTGAACTATTTCTATAAATAAATAATCATTTGTTCCTGATGAGGGAGACATTACTGTCACCAAAACATAATTGGATTTCATAAAATAAAATTATATTACAATATTCTGGAAGTATATATTGTGGTTGTCCTAATTTAAAAAAAAAAATTTGTCTCAGCAATGAAAAAAAATATTGATGACAATTATTATCTACAAATAACTGTTGTTAATAATAGTAATAATAATAATAATAATAATAATAATAATAATAATAATAATAATAATAATAATAATAATTCACAATGGAATACATTTTCATAATAATTGGAAATGTTCAGATGCAAAATATAATGAAGGAGAATAAGAGACCATTTGATTTGTATAGCATAATGATTATATTGCATAGATCTTCTATGACACATTAGGAAGAATTAGATTCTGTAATATTCACCAACTACAAACATGAATACATCACGTATTTGATAAGTCACTAATCAATTACTAATTTCCTTTCCTTTTTTTTTTCTCCAGATACCTCCCCGTCTCTAAATTGAAGTTATCTTCTGTGCAAATGTTAGCTCAATTGCTTAACAATGCTACATGAAGTCATGCGAGTTAACGATTTGAGGTACACCATGACTTCCTGATGTGTGACCACGTGGGCACCTCAGTTAGTAAAGGTGCCAAGCCCCTGGCCAAAGGGATAAAAGACAATGACTCACTGTGAAGTTACAAGACAAAAAATAAAGTTTAACAGAGGGAATACTTCAAATATATACATGACCTACGAATGCATGATCAATGAGTAAGACATGTAGTTGTGAAAAAGGCACAACAGAATTTCAAAATCTTTCAAATTGCTAATTCAAATTTCTTGTGCATCTTTTCCTGAAGACTTTCCCAAAGCTTCATTTTGCAATCTGACAATGGCAGTACTTTGAATACCTTGGGCAATATTTCAGGTCTTTTGGATTGTTGAATTTGTGAGGACATATTAGCATTAAAAGAATTAGATTTTGCACCTAATGTGCTATGATTGGTAATGAATTTTATAAGTGACAGCTGTGATTATTACAAAACAAAAATTACAGAATTATAATATTATGTAACTATTACTAACATGAAAAAGTAAATGCTGTTGAGCTCATTTAAAGATTATCATCATAAATACTTCCCAGGAAAACGTCATTAATACTTTGATCTCTCTCATACTTCCATTCTGTTGAGTGTATTCCTCCAAAGTTTTCATTATGACCTGTCCGGCACTAACTTATTACTAAGGGGCGGATTTTAGCAAAAGGTCTTTTTCCTTTTTATGTTATGCCGAAAGGAAACAATCTATTTTTTACATTTGATTAGATTTTTCATCAATTTCAACTAATAGGCATTTTAAACTTTTTTCCATAATTTTTGAAGCATTTTCAGTTTTCATTGATTTTAATATAATTTTATTTGCACTTGCTTCAAATAACATTTAAGAGATGCAACAAATGTTCTTCACAGATTTCCTGAGTAGTGCATACGATTTCTTCACTCAGAAATTGTAATGTCAGCTAGGTGTTAGTATGACATCCAAGAAAAAGAAGATCTCAGTTCCTGTGACGGACAACTGTCGGTTTGGCTAATTTTGCAAGAACTAAAGAAGGCATTTTTTGCTTAAGAACAGTCCAAACCAAAACATTAAAGATCACTTAAACAAAGGGAAAAAAGCTTTGATTACATCAGAAACATATCCAACAGCATCAATTGTCCATTTGAACTGGTTTGGATCAAATTTTTTAATGTAATTTTTCTTTGCTGTTTGGGCCTTTTAAAAATATTTTAAGAGCGTTTAATTGATCATTTTAGACAATATTTTAGGTCATCAAAATACGCACCCTAGTCATCACTATTCTTTAACATAGCCACATTGTATTTTTCTACTTCCTTATATTTAATATTTATGGATTTTGCCTTTTCTTCTCTGGCTGTGTTTTGGAATGTCGTTTAGGTAAAGTACTCTATTCCAGTCAACAATTGGCTTTGCAATCCTTCCTATTTCACTATTTTCTAATGGCTTCTGGTGATAACCCACTCAATTTATTCTTTTCAAAGCAATTTGTTCACCTTTCAAGATCTTCTTCCTTGGTTTTCCATGCTGTTTGTAAACCGATCCCTTTTACTCACTCCCATAGAAACAGCAGATTTACATGAATGTGGAATATTTGTGTCATAATTAAGACTTATTTTTTTCTGTCTACTTGTTGCTGGACAAAAGAGCAAAATACTTCCTGAATATGATAAAGGCATTTTCCAAACTGCATAACTTCACAGTGAGGAAAATTGACAACCTATATTAGACCCATTCTAGAATTTGCCAAAATAGTCTGGTCTCCACATTATTAAAAAGACAAACAACGTTTAGAAAAAGGCCAGAAGTGAGCCACCAGGATCCCAAGAGAAAATCACCTTAACGACTACCAACAGAGGTACTGAAAAATGGCACTTCTGACAATGAAACAGAGGAGATGCAGACACGACATTGTAAAGAGACAAAAAATTCTGAACAGCCACTATAAGGTTCCATAGCATGATGTCTTCTTCACAAGATCTGCAGACATCAGACTGAGAGGAGACATGCAGAAACTGAAGAAAGAGGCAAGGATCGAACTAAGATCACACATCATCGTCAGTTGGGTCATCAACACTTGGTACAGACTGCCTAATTAAAGCAACCTTGAATGTTTTGAAACACACTTTTGACTAATGTGATTTCATAAATAATCAGTGATACAACTAAGCATGTGAAAACTAGGGGGTGGATTTTAATGAAATGTCATTATTTACCTTTTCACTTCGAAACAATGCCGTTTTGTATAGAAATTCATTTTCTGTTATGATTAAATGAAATTACCCATTGTTTTATGTTGTTTTTTTTGCATTTTTTGTTGGTTTCGACTAACAAGTCATTTTTTACCTTTTTACGTAATTTTTACTGCATATTTCACTGATTTCATTAATTTCAATATCATTTTAATGGTACTTGCCTCAAACAATATTTGGGAGGTGCAACAAATACAATTACGGAGTAGTCTATTAGATTTCTTCACTCATATATTGTAATGTCAGCCGTTGTGAGTACTATGTAATCTACGGTTCCTGTGACATTTATGGGTGCCATTGTCAGTTCAGCCGATTTTGCGATAACTAAAGGCAGAGATTTGCTTTCAAAGAACAGTCCAAACCCACAGTTATCAAGCTGAGTTCACTTGAGCAAAAGAAAGAAGCCTCAATTACATCAGTAGCATATCCAACAGCTTGAGTTGTTCATCTGAAGTGGTTTTGATCAATTTTTTAAAGTCATTTTTTTTGTTTTTAGGGCATTTTTAAAGCATTTTATTCATCATTTTTGGCAATGTTCATCAAAATATGCCCCCTAATGATAATCAATGTGATATGAGACGTGATGAATGAGTATTATGTTAAAATTAATAAACACCAAAATATGTTAACTTCATTTACAGCATTATGAGATATGTCTGTAACAGTTTGTTGCTTACACCATTATTCAATAAATAATAACAATAATAATATGCCAGGACCTGGCGCAGATGGTTGCGGTAGCTATTGTGTGCACCAAGGAGGCTGCCGGTTCGAGTCCTGCATAGGCATGGTCGTATTTGTGATTGTTCCTTCACCCCTCATCATCATCATCATCATCATCATCATCCTATCACCTCGTAATTCATTAGTCGAACCAGAACAACCTTGTCTTACCAAGAGATACAGTTCAAAAGCAGATCCCCAAAATGACACGTGTAAATTTCCCTTCTGGATAGAACATGACTGGGCCGCGGAAGAGAACATGTAGCGTGGTCAGTAATGGCTAATATACTAATAACAATAATAATAATAATAATAGTATAATAATAACAGTAATAATAATAATAATAATAATAATAATAATAATAATAATAATAATAATAATAATAATAATCCTGTCTCCTCAATTATTTCCTTTACCCAATTAAATTTCCTTGTCATATTTCAATCTCTCTTTGCATGGGATTCCAATCAGCCATAATAAAAATAAAATCTAATCACACTATTTTATTTATCTAAGTGTGTTCTTAATGAGACTTCAGATATATCATATACTGCACATATCACCTATTCCTGCTCATGATAAGAATATTATCATGAAGGAGCACGTAAAATCAATGATTCCCCTCTTGCTGTATGGAAAAATTTGTCTTCTCAGTTTCCTAATGCATACACATGGGGAGAAAATTCCTCTGGAACCAATATTCTGTGTACCACATGCACGATCCTTTTTAAGCAAGTCTTGTTTGCAGAAAAATTCCCATAATTTATTTCTTGGATCTTTTGACAGCCCATATTTTCTCTCAAAAGGGGATAAGCTGATAACACTTATAAGCTGATTCTCTTACAATTGGGTTCTACTGTATTTCAAATTTTACAAAACACCAGAACAAACCATCGCTGGAAATTATTTTTGAATACTTACGTTGATGGATATTGCCAAGGTATATTATATGTGGCATATCATTTATAACACATATACTAAGGGTTCCTGTGTTGTTCAAGGGTTTTGCTTTTTTAACATTTATTGTCTGAACCCATTCCCCAGTTGAGCAGTTGAAAACATCCACATGGGTATCACTATAGACTAGTAAATGACCATCACAGTAACCTACAAAAAAAGACAATATCAAATTACTTGAGAAAAACAAACAAACCGCAAAACATTACATTGAACCTGCTTTTGATAAACTCCATTTACTTCTAAATATATTCATTTGTTTGGATCTTTAGTACTTACTAACTGCAGTGGGAATGGCAGGGTACATGATTTCTCTTTCACGGGATTTACGTCCCTGAGCATCGACATACATTCCAAGTGTTTGAAACACCAACAAGAACTCTCCTCTAGAGAGTTCTATTGCACGCATGGCCTCTACTGCACTGTAAGACAGAAATCCCAGAATCTGGTTGTCTGGATGAACCAAGGCTACAAATGAAAACAAGACCATTACTCATGTTCTCAATTTTAATAAGTTTCTCAATTTTCGTAGATTTTTCTTGTAAAGGTTAGCACATACACAGAGGATGTTGGTCGCCCATTATGCTGTAAATGCTGAATCCAGACTGATACCCAACACACAATCTGCCATCACTAAAAATATTCAAAGTTTGTGCTTGTGTAGGCAGCATCAATTCCCTTAGTCTTTTGTGGCGAGTCTTGGTCCGAGTCACCTCGTAAATTATTACTTGAGATGTGTTCTGTAAACATATAGAAAAATAATGAGTACTTAATTCAATTATTCACCCTTCAAAACTTGTGCAAATATTGATATTGCAAAAGTCTGAGAGAAGTAAATCCTACCTAATGAAAGAAAATAAATAAATAGATTAAATACACTGAAAGAGGCACACTTCAACAAAATCTATTCTTACAATTTTTATTGTTCCCTGCAGCTGACAATCTCTGCAGCTGACAAGATAAAACTGCTGAAAACTAGGGAAGTGCACACTTTCATATGCAGCATAAATTCTCTACAAACTTGTCTTGTTTCTATGTCTTTATATGTATCTTTATCCCCTCTAAATATACACACCAAAAGATGACAGTTCAGTGCAATTTACGCAACACAAAGCACTAAGTGAGCTAATACTGGAAGGGGAATTTCCTCCCAGGGGTCCATCAGTTTCCCTTTCCTTCTCCTTTTGTGTGTCTAATGGGACCCCAATATTTCCTATGTCATAATCTACAAAATGAGCTCTTTCTGGATGATCTATTAATTTAGGTGAATAAAAAAATTAAATAATGTATATTGAGCAACTTAAATATTTGGGCTTCTCAATATTTACAATTTCATTGGGGGTGGAAACTAATTAAGTTTAGTTAATCCAAGGCTTTTGCTACCTGCAGAAAACTGACCAAAATAAGTGTCACACAGTATGTTGATTAAGAAGAGAGGAGAAAAAAAAAAAAGAAAGTTAATAGGTAGATACACATAAATAATATGATAAACTAATTTAAATGAACACAAGCTTACCTGACGTTTAATAGCCACACAAAGGCAGTATGCCAACTGAGGGGTTCGTCGCATGGCACCAGCAGCAAATGTAATACAACCCTTCGTTTCGGCAACTTTAATCCATTCTACTTCATCCCCATCAAGTGCTCTTACTGGGATTAATCGCACATGTCTCTGTTTGCCTGATAGCACCACCAGTAGTTGCTCTTCAATTACATATTCCAACTGAAAAACTTTCTTGCCTTCTCCCACACGTCCAATTTCTGTAAATAAGTAAAATAAATTTAGATTATTCTAAGATATCTTACGATATTCTTTTCACAGTAACATTCTGTCACACATATAAAAAATGCAAAAGCAAAAGGCATCAAATATTTAAAAGAGTCAAGTACGGACACCATTTCACAAGATGAAAGAAAAATGGACAACACAATCAGTTTTTGGATCTTGTTTTTGGATCTGGATAAGATCTTGTTTATCTTGTATTTTTCATTATTCATATTCCTGACTTTAGAAATGAAACACAAATGCAAGCTGCAAAATAAAACTTCAATATATTCAGATGTGAAGAGATTCACGACAGAAAAAAGGAGACTGTGCTGCCACTTTGAAATACTGTCAACTCCAGTTATAGTGAATTCGAATATAGTGAACCATCAATTATAGTGAACTTAAGTCACTGATCCTGTTTCACTTACATTACAAATAATCATAACTAGATACAGTTATAGTTATAGAAGTGTGATTATAGTTAGTTATAGAGCCTGAATCTTTCTCTCTATTCAGCTGTAGTGAACATTGGAAATACAACGTACTGAAAATTAATTCCCTCCTAGAAAATAATATTTCGCCCCAAATTTCAACACCAGACAGCTTGAAAAAAAATATTGTTGGCCAAAGGTTACCATCTAAAAATTCTTCCGTGAGGTGAGGGTAGTGGGGACTTTACAGATGACCTTATGCTACTCAGTTTCACTGTAGATACAAGGGCTGTGTCCTGGGCTACAACTGGCGGTGGGGATGTGCAATTACTTGCATCAGTTTTAAGGTTTTGTGTTACTTTCTGCAGGACAATTAACAATGACGGTGCAAAACAATTCATTACATTTCATCGCTTTTCCCACTACAAGTTAAATGCTGCTTCAAATGTCATTTTGAAAAAGAATTGTTAGAATGGAGAAGAGAAACAGAAATATGTGTTTCTTCAAAAATTATTATTATAGATGGTAAAAATATAGCAGGATGAAAGAATACTGAAAATTTTATTGTATCAATGTTGCGGTGTTGAAGGTTTATGAAAAGGCACAGTCTCCCAAGGCATTCTAGAACTAGAACACAGTAAAACTTCACTTATACGTTGTTCAAGGGACTGAAGGGAAATAATGTATAACTCAGAAAAATGCATAACTGAAATTGATTATTATGAGGAAAATAAAGACTTATTTTTACAACATCGTTTTCACAGCTCTTTAGCAATATCTATCTTTTTATTGCCACTCTCCCTAACCACTTTTTAAAAATATTTTATCCGATATTGAAAGGGGGGTTGACTTTTCCCACCACTCTTTTCAGTTTAAAGTTGCAGACGCAAAATCACAGAGAAGACAAACTATACTTCAATTTAAACATAGTGCCTCAGAGCCACAAATTACAACACTAGTCAGCTTGGAAAAAATATCGTCAGCTGAAGGTCATCATCAAAGATGTCTCTCCTGTGGTGGAGGTTAGCAAACTTGCAATGAGGACCTTACCGATGACCTTGTGGAACTTTTCACTGCGGAAATGAAGGCTGTGTCCTGCGTGGGCTACAACTGAAGGTGGGGACATGCGGCTGGTTGCTTCAGTTTCAAGCTCTTACTTGAGATTCAGTTGGCCAAAGCACGATGCTCTACATGGGCAACAGAAAACGCACAACTGCCACAGCCTGGCAACACTCACTCCGTGGAAAGGCAATCAATTTCATTAGCATCTTGTGCCATGGTGTTACCAAAAGGATCTCATATGATAACGAGGACAAGATAAAGACCCTTCAGAGAGTGGAACAGTCAGTGCACAAACTTAATTTATTGGTCATTTACTCTCTTCTGTGGACACCTTAAGACCTTCCCTCGGAGGTAGCCGTTGCCTCCTGAGATCTTCAAAGAGCTCCCTCCTCCTGTGTATGTGTCCTATCACCCCAAGGGCTCATAAGCAGTCTTAGCCCCTCAGCTATATTGAATCGAGCTTCTACATTACAAGTTGCATTAGCGGGAAGCCACCTCAGAGGCCGAGCGACACATTGCTCCGCAGGAGAGCTCTAGAGTGGGCCAACTAGATACAAGTTTCAGGCTCTCAGCACAGGTCGCCCCGCGCCTCACCAGGATCTTTTGAACGTAATACAGTTTTAAAGGGGCTTTTGTTATGAACATACGTAAAATTCATAACTAAAATAATTTAGCAAGGGAATTATAGGAATTTATCCAGGACCTACCAAAAAAAAGTATAAACAAAAAAACATGTAACATTAAGGAATCGAAATCCTTCTCGAAAACAAGGGTGCATCTTATACCCAAACAAAAATGGTAATTTCACTTCAAACGTCATTTACGCAAACTGAAATTAAACCATAGCCTACCAGTACGATCCAGATCTAAGCAGAACAATCCTTCTTCTGTTCCAATGACTAGGCGATCAGGATCAATAATGGCTCCAGACATAGCATTTTTAATTAAAGCTAATGTATTGTCCAATAATTCTTTAGCTCTAAATACCTGAAGAAGAAGAAAAAAAGCATGAAATTAGAAAACAAATATATTGTAAGAAAAGATTCAATATATCAATGGTACTTACTGTTCTATTTGGCAAGTTATTCCTTTTTAATATCCTATGTAATTCACTTAATGCAACAACCCACTTGGTTTTTTCACTTTCAGTGTCAGCAAGCATTAATGTGTGATTTTTAAGCCCTGGTGGTTCCATGAGAGAAGTTGTTATCTGTCCAGAAAATAAATTACCATCATCAATAACTTGCACATCATATGCCAAAACAAATTCTAAAGGCCATCAACTTACCCTAAATATACAAGGAATGTCTTTCTTTGTAGCATGGATGACATCTGAATCTCTAACAGAACTTACAGCAAACTCTTCATCTCTCATATCAAGAACTTGTGAAACATGAACTGATGGCAAGGCATTGCGGTCAGGTGAAATATCATACAAGAAGAGTTTGAAGTCGCATACTACTACAAACTGGCGAACCCAGCCCTTTTTAACACCACCTGTCTTAGGAACTTTCACATAACCTTCGTATGCTGTTCCAATTCCCCTTGTAGGATCAATTCCCAAAGGTCTTTTAGCTGTAAGTGCACACAATTTAGTTACATTTTGAGGTAGGAGTTGAAAACCTCCAATGGGAAAATGGGTAGGAGACTGAAACAAGGATACAAGGAAAGTAAAGGAGTAATTATTGATGTGATGAAAAGAATAATAGAATATCATGTATAATAAAATTGTTTTGCAAGTCGGAAGCAAAAGTGATAAAAACTTACTTTGATCTGCTGGCACAGGGCAAATCGGAGGAACCTTTTCGCAACAGCCAATGTGGCAGGCAAAGCCACAAACTTCACAAACAACACCTTGGCGAGTCAAACCCACCATGAGAGATGTACAATGGCTACATTTAGTTGGTGATGAAAAGGTGCGAACTAGAAACTGGTGAGACTTTGGCTTTGGTGGGAGATGAGGGGGCGGCATGAGAAGTGGTTTTTGATGGTCGAGTCCATGCTGCGTATTCGGATCCTGCACATTAAATAGGTTCATTGACAAGTGTTTCATGTATTTAATTCAAAACCATTTTAACGTCTAAACACAACACGAAAACCCATTTCTATGGCCACATATCCACAACCATTAGAAAGCCAGCACATATTTAAATGAGACCCACAAAAAAGCTGATTTAAAGCCACTTAAAAGCAGAAAGCTACACACACACACACAGATTCACAAAATTATAACATGCTATCACAAAGAAACAATTGGACCTTACTTACTAAGCTAATTTCTGATATATTTGATTTACTACTAGCTACAGATGGGGCCCGGTTATCCTCTACATCACCCTCTTCACTTTCCACAGAGCCACCATGTCGGGTAGAGGATTCTTTGAGGAAGTGATCTAAATATGACATCTGGGATGAGGGGCGCTCCAAAACTGAAACACGCCATGGTGTAACATTAAGTTAATTCATTTCACAAGCTTTTCTATACAAATTCACTTTTTGGAATTAATTAGAAAAAGGAAAACATTTTTTTAAATAGCCAAAAATTATGTTGCTGAGGTTTCTGAAATTCACAAAACTTTTACCCTCGAGTTATTCAGATAAGATACATTTCCTTTATTTTTCCTGCTTTTAGAATTAGTTCTAATAATCAGGTTTCTGAAATAACAACTTCAGATGTAAATTGTAGGTGCAAGGCAAAACTAGTAATTTCAAAACTGGACTGAGAGAAGAAAAATTCATTAAAGCCACTGCCAAAGCTCTTTTGTAGGCATTCATTTGCACTGGGTAGTTCATTCTGTTGAAGGTTGATCTTGGGATAGAAAAATGCACAAGAAATATTCCAGAAGCACAAGAAAAATGTCCATAGGCATCATAATCAGTCCGTCAATCATGATGTATCTTCTCCAAATTCAAGGCAAAATATCTCCCTTAATGCTACAATAATTTTAGAAAAACTATCAAGCAACATGTCACACCTATACACGTAATAAAATCAAAACAATGGTGCAAGACAAATTCTCAGAAAGGCACTACTGGTGAAATTAAGAAAGGCCACAAGAAGCTTACTCATAAAAATCCACATTAAGAAAACAAATATTAGTTAGCTCACATATCGCACTCTCTCCAAACCAGTATGTTTTAGGGGTTATCCATAAATAATGTGCAATGCATTACAGTTACTGATGCTGAGAATGTTATACAGCACAAATCACAAGCTGCAGACAGGATACCCACCCTCTTGAAAAGATGAATCATCATTCATGGACAACCCCTGTTTAAAATGCAAGCAGGAGTACATAAAATAAAAAATACATTTCGGCTACACATGGCAACTTATGTCCACTTGTTCACCACCCACTCCCATCATACAGGACTGCAAAAAACAAATATGTTAAACTGCTATTCAGAAGAAGACCACAGAAACAGAACAGCAGTCATTTCCTATTTTGCAGCCCAGTATTTCTCCCGAGGAAAAAAAATATCCTCATTAAAACGTCTAGTTTCCTATACAGATACCAATTGGAAACAACAGAAATCAATAAATTTGAATTAGTCCAATAGGTTTCCAAATCTTTTGAAGCATTCATTTTCCCAGGGGTCTCCCAGAGGGCGGGTGAGGTCTAGTAAAGATGGATTGTAACAAACAGCCTAACGCAACAGCAGAGGCACAATAGCAACCAGTACGTTACCAAACGGTGAGGTGGTGACCATAGCACCGCGCCCACTCCGGTAAGTTGGTCGCATGGTCAGAAATAGATTTTCATAAGGAGAAGAAGCAAGCCCCATAGACAGCTTGTTACACCAATAAATAGGGGCATTTTGTCTAAAGGAGCAGAGAGAGACAGGAGAAATATTTAACTATTTGATACATGAGAACCTCATTAAAACAAAATCTGCTTCTTAAGGATGTAACTTGCATTCACACTGTTTTCTGATAGTTTGAAGATCACCAGAAAAATGTGTACATACACATACTGAAACAATGAGGCATGTTTTGGTGGGTTATATCTTTAAAACTATGAACATATTAAGGATAAGTAATATCATAAATTGGTAAATTTTGAAGAATTTTTTTCTAGTGCTGAAAATCAAAAAGTTAGAATATGATACGTGTGAGTGATGAAATCTCGGTACACAAACATTAATCCCCCTCATGAATATACCTTTAATGCTGTCTTAAGTATTACTTTTGCCAACTCAATCTCTTGTTACTTCTGTTTTTATTCCTCTACCCATTGAAACAAATTGAAACTTCAGAAGGAAAGAAGAAAAAACTTATTGACAAAACAAATTATTGAAACAAGATACTTTACAATGGTCATTATATATTAATTTCAATTTACCTCTTTTCTTGATGAATTACTGGAGAATAATAAACTCGCTTGTATACATTATTTTCTTTGCTGTACTAAAATACATCAACAAATTCTACAAATATTAATATTTCTACCAGCTACAAAACAAACACGAAATCTAAACACTTTACAAATGTTACAATATCGACTCTACTCAAAGATGACATACATAGGGTTGAATCCGGTTTTAACGAACCATAATCAGTAGAGGCCTTCAACAGCAGGTCCTGGCCTAAATGCCGCAGATGCAGAGAAAGAGAACATTTCAGGAACTAATCTTTAGTCTCTATAGTTAGTAATACAATGAATTAGACTTTGAACAGGTTCAAAAGAACTGGATTCTACTACAGGTTCAAACAAAAAATGTAGTCCCCCAGTTCTACGAATTCAATAGAAAGCAAAAGCACATAATTCGTCAGTAAAACACTTTCAGTGGTGAAAAATGAAGCACATCAACAGCAAATAATTTAAAAGAAAACAAATGTTTATGTTAATAAGATAGGCCATATTAGGATTGCCAGAGTAAATTGCCACAACTTGTAGTCAACCACACATTCTTTAGAAATCTGCAAATATGTTGTATTGGGAAAATATTAAGCATTAGTAGGTGTACAAATTAAGTACATACTTTACAAGGGGCATATTTGTCATGAAGGTTCAGATGGTAAGTCGGCGAATATTCAACTTGGAAGGCTGCTGCTGAATGAGTGCGATTTCCATACATGGCCACAACACATTCATATGCTGTATTGAGTATACTCGTGATACTAATGTTGAAGAAGCCACAATGAAAACAATGAAGATTCATTATAACAGCAGATTTCTGGCAACCCTAAATGGCTGTACAGGAAGATGTATTTCTGTACAGGAATACTTACATCCTTCTCCTGACTCCAATCTAGATTTGAGCTCTTTAATTTCTAAGTCTTTACATTTCACGTCGTGAGAAAGACCCTCAAAACGTTGCCGAAAGTCACGTAATTCTCTGAAAAACAAGTTTTAGAGCAATACAGAACACCACTCGCACACGATAAATAGAAGCAAATTCAATATTTAGAACTCACTTTTGAGCAGCTATTAAGTCAGAGCGTGTTTTTGTTAATTCTTCACCAATAGACTGCTTAGCCTGGATTTCTGACTGTAAACTACTTTGCAAGTTCAGCAATTCCATCTTATCTAATTTCTGACTACGTCTGTTCCGCCAATTTTTATCCTGACAAGCACAATACACAATGTCACAATCAAAAATCAACAGTCATTATTTTGATTATCTTGAATCGCAGGACAGTAAACTCATGATTATCCAACACTACCTCAAAAATTAAAATACTCTGATAATACAGAATTAATTTTAAAAATCAAAACACAAATTGCACAACATAATGTAAATGAAAATGTTTATTGCAATTGCAGAGACAATTAAAATCGTGGCAATAATAAATGACAAACACAATATTTGATGAACAAATTCAATGTTAACTGAAATCAGAAAGTCTAAATATGTCGAGAATTGGAGAGGGTGACTTCCCAGCATACTTCCCGAATCACTGTAGCAACCAAATTTTACACATTGAAGTTCTGTGTCTTTATGGATTATTGGTAACCTGGAACATGACTTAACCGGGATTCAGATAATCACAAGTCTACTGTACTTTGTATAGTATACATACTGATGACTGAGCATTAGCTACGCCAGAATGTTTCAGGAATTCAAGTTCTTCTGACATTTTTGTGGCTAAAGCTTGCAAGTAACCACGAGCGTCCTTTTCATCACTGACCCTGAAGAAAAAGGATACAAAACATATACTATTTCTCAAACCTCATATCATTATATGAAGTTTCTCTATTATTTTTTTTTCTCCTTTGCTTGATTTCAGAATGGCAAAACAGTGATTGTTCCACAGTAATATCTCATTGCAGCCATAATTTGATGTCTGTGGCAGGGTATACAAGTTGAGATTTGATTATTTAATAAAGTTGTCTGGGTCATGTGATTACTTGTCCCAAGTTATTATCATAAAACTTCCTTGAGCCATAATGCATAATTTTGGATACATTTTATGCTAAAATCTTTTTTATAAGAATTAAAACATGCAATTTTCAATACAATGATGATAGCGAATGAACTCCTCACAATTTGTCCTTTGCTTTTGTTAACCAATATTGCAACATATGGAGTCAATTCTGTTACAATAAAGAATGAGACCCTTCATATCATTGGATTTCATTTCAGATTACAGATATATTTTTATTTTCCAAATATCCATAATGAGAGAATTGAAATAATAAAGAGAAATTCATTGTGTTCACAGCAACTTGACAGAATTGAAAATTCTGTTATCCAAACTGATAACAGCAATAAGTACAACACTGCAAAATTATCAGTAAAATTATAAGCCATACCATTGTATAATCTCGCTTATTTGTGCTTCCCACTGAGCAATTGCATCCTTTTTATTGCGCAATTCCTCATATTCATCAGCTAATTGGCGTCGTTCACTCTGAATTCGAGTTAAGCTTTCTGTGAGCTGCAAACACAATATCAAATACATTTTCATCAAATACATAACATTAATTGCCCATTTTAGAACTTTAAAAGGATACTCACAGCATCCAAATCCATCATTAGTTTTTTGTTTTCTTCAAGGAGAAGTATTTTTTCTCGCTCGTGCCGTTTTTTCATTTCAGAAATGATCTCTTCATTGTCAGTAAGATCTGCTCTTCTAGCAGCATCCAACTTCTCCTTAATCATTTGTACCTAACAGAAGAAAATGTAAGTTTCCCCAAATAATTAGCGTTAACTACAACATTTTTCTAACATTTACGCTCACCTCTTTTTCTAAAGTGTCTCTCCGACTTTCAGCCTCTTGAAGTTGATCTCTTAAGCTGGCAATTTCTAAGTTATACCTACTCTGTTGTTGTGCTAAACTTTCTTTGTACTGCATTTCCAGCTTCTCAGCCTCTGCTTTCAACTTTACAATTTCCTGAGTGGCATGTGACTGACTGGCTGAAGACACATCAGCACCAACAACTAGATTTCTTTGCCTAAGTTTTTCAGTTTCTTCTTCCATTTGTTTACAGTATTCTTCACTCCGTTCACGCAACTTCCTTTCCTTACTGGTCTCTGAAATGGCTTCCTCTACCCGTGCTTCCAATTCTCTTCGAAGTTTCTCTGCTTTACGAATATCATGTCGCAAACTGTCAATTTTTTGCATGGCAACCTCTAGTTCCTCTTCTTTGTCCCGAACTTGTCTGGAAAGCTTCTGTTTTTGTTGTCTTAGTTCTGATAATCTATAAAAGGAAATAGTTTTTTAGTATTGAGAGGTAAAGATTATTTTTGTAGGATAAAACAAAATAAACAATACCTGTCTGTAACTTCTGTATATTCAGCCATAGCCAACTTTCTTTGACTCAAAGCATCTTTGAGTTCTTTTTCCTGAAGTTGCAATTTTTCCTGAGCATCTACATTCTCCTAAAAACACAACAAAACACATGATGTTAACGAGTACAATTGCTGCAGCATCCAACTTGTTAATTATTTGTAGGTATCAGAAGAAAATATATCACAATTATCTTCACTGAGACCATTTAGTACCTTTTGTGCTTCATCACGTTCCTGTTTCAGCACTCTAATAAGCTTCTCCATTTCCTTGATTTTCTGACCTGTTTCCCCATCAGCAGGAACTGTTTCTTTCCTCAAGTCTGATGGCTGTTGATGTTCAAGACCTCTCAGTTGTGATTCTAATTCTAAATAGAAAAAATTACAAATTAACTACAGACAGTCTATGCTTCACAAATAAAATATTTACGTATTAACACAAAGTACACTAACCACAATTCTTTTTTGTGAGAATATTTATTTCATCTTGAAGCTTTCGCATACCGTTAGCAACTTCACCAGTAGGAGAATTTTTTCGTGCGTCATCAGTTATTTCACCAGAGAGTGTCAAACTCTTGGCTTCTGTAAATATATATTAAAAAATTAATAACAACAATAAAAATACAATTTCACTAGTTAGAACAAATCAAACAAATAGAAATAAGTACACAGACAATAAGAATGGCAAAACAAGAAAAATAAAATGAATTCAAAAGATAAACTGCTCTATCTCTTTGAGTATAAAAAGAAAAGATGAAGAAGGCAGAAAGGAAATCTGAATGTTTTCTGAAAGCATCAATTAATGTTCTTGTTTTTAAATCTTACCATTTAAACTTTTTGTAAGCCTCAAATTTTCTTCTTCTAATTGCTGAATTTGTTTCTCTACAACTGTTTTATTGACTAATGTAGGTGTATCTGGCAAAGGAAGGCAACCTAAATCTGATACACAGCTAGAAAGATAAAATCACAATTAGTTCCTGAAACTTTGTAAAAGAAAAAACCTTAAGCAACTGGAGGGGAAAAAACAAAATCGCACCATCCTTGTGTAAAAGTAAACCCTACAAAAGGAAGATGGAGTGCAGTAAAAATTGCATTGCTAGTTGGCGGAACAGCATCAGAAGTCCGAATGTCTGTATCATCTACATCGAAATTAGATGTATCAGTAGGACTGCTGACTTCAGGAACGTAAGGTGCAAGATTATCCCTTATCCTGTTCCAATCAACTCCAACAAACCAAGCATGGTTCTGCAAAACCAAAAGAAGAAGAAAATAATGAATTTGCATAAATTATTTCCCCTTTTAAGACATAATTTCCCAATTCCATACCTTGAAGTCTTCAATTCCATTTTGCCCTAACCTAAATTCTGAACTGCATATTAGTCTCTTCATTAAATCTTTGGCTTCAGTGGATACATCATAACCTGCATCACCGGGAAAATCAAAACAATTCTGGGAAAAAAAAAAAAGTACATTAAGTTTTAGTTTTGTCAACATACAACATTAGTAATAAATTATTTTAGCTTTATTTTTTACTTTTAGGTTCTTTTTTATTTACAAAAGAGGTCAAAGCATCCACCAAACCAATTTCTGATTATTCTGTGCAGGATGTTTGTGGGTACAATCAATTCACTTCCTTATTGGAAAAGTGCCAAAAAGAAGTTGGCACATAACTGTGAAGCTACACATACATGAGTCAGGAACACTTGGCAACATAAAATAGATCCTTGAAAACGATGTGAAGACACTTAAAAGGAAAGGTCAAAAAGGTCAGAAAAGTCAGTTGATAATACCTTATGGTTCATTATTTTTCCATATGTCTCAACTAAAGATTCAGCATAGAACGGTGTTTCCCCATATAGCATTTCATACATGCACACTCCTAGTGACCACCAATCACACTCAGGACCATATCGACCCTGGCCATCTTCCATTGCCTAGGAAAAACAAAAATTCAGCATAAGACTGAATTAAGAAATATTACCAAAAAGTCAAAAAATTACAGAGATACCTGAAGAATTTCTGGAGAAATGTAATCTGGAGTTCCCACAGCCACATTACTTTGTACTGTACCATCCTCAAAAAGTTTGAGGCAAGAACCAAAATCTGCTAAGCGAATATGTCCATTGGCATCTAATAGAACATTATCAGGTTTAATATCTCGATGAACATAACGCAAATCATGAATGGAACCAATGGCTAACACCATTTCAGCAATGTAAAATTTTGCCATATCTTCAGGTAGACGATCTTCAAATTTGCTTAGAAGGGTTAAAAGATCGCCTCCACAATAGTAATCCATAACCAAATACTAGAAATTAAAAGAACACACTTATTCAAATACAATTCATTTCCACTAACCTCTATAACTGCAATTATTTAATTACCAAATTTGACTCATCCTGGAAGGCATAATGTAAATTTGTGATCCATCTTCGATCTCCATAAACCAGAACATCTCTTTCTTCTTGAAAGCATGCAGTTTCAGCACGTTTTAACATTTCCCATTTATTGAGTATTTTCATGGCATACACTTTTCCTGATCCTTTCATCTTCACTACACACACTTCACCAAAGGCCCCTCGGCCAATAACTTTTATTATCTCAAAATCATCTCGTGTCAATCTTAAGCCTTTCACAGCAGTTGCAACTGGTTTCACTAAAAGAATTAAAATTATTTTTACTATAATGACAGTTACATATAAATCACAAGTTCAACTAGCACACCACTCAATTTTGTAACCAACCAAATTCAATAAAATCTGAGACTGTCTTTTCTCTTCGTAAAGAAGAATTGCAGCACTCATCATACAGCACCAACAAAACATCTAAGAGAGTTTCTATGCTGAAGCATTGGCCTTGTCCCTGGATAGGGCCACCCAGAAACAGAGCCTCCAGTTGTCGTAATCGCTGCTCACCTGTCAGGCCTGTTGACATTAGTGCATTTTCTTGTTGCAAACAAATTTTTACATTTCACAAACTTTCAGTAAAATCAGTAACAACTTTCACAAACCTTCCATTTTGCTATTCTTGAAATGTATGCATACTTAAGAATAAATTAAAATCCTCAAAAAATCTACTATAATGAACTACCACAACACAACATCCTCTTTTACTCATGAATATACTGTTCTAAAATGGGGGAACATGATATGATGCTCCCTTCATTCCCACAATTCATTAAGCAATTACTATCCCCTACAACAGAAGTGCCAACACCCAAATAACTCCAACCATGGAACATTGGCAAAGTCACTTAAACTACATTTTATTCAGGGAAACAAATGTAAAGAGATAACTTTGCAAATCAAATAAATATTAAATAGCTTTAATAGCATAAAGAATTAATACCTTGAGCAACAGCTCCTCCTGAGTCCTGCTGCGAGGCAGGTTTTACTCCTGTCTCAGACATTTGGAGGCGTTACATGTCAAATAGCCATGTGACACCACTTGCCAAATAAGAATAAGTGCAGGAATGTCCACAGGTATTAGTGGGAGGATACAATTCACTCATTTTGAAAGGGCCTTAATCTGAAAACAATCGCTTGGTTAAAGGCGAATGTGTAATAAGACAACATTTTCCAAATCTAATTTAAGCATTTATTTTTAAAACACACATTCCTTTAAGAACTATTTCAATACTTCCATCGTTCCTACCAAAAAAATCTACAAAACAAGGCTCCAAAAATTGTTCATTAACACTGCTACGACACTTTCTAACTAACTAGATGCGCACACGAACTGAAATTCGTTCTCCTGACAGAACGGTACATATTACCTCCTACTGTGACGGACGTAATTATGCCACTAGCGACAGCACTCCCAATACAACTCAGGCTCAAATATGATAGGAGTTAGTTAACACTTAAAATTAACGTAAGCGAATCGAAGGGAAATGACATCCCGCAATACACACGCACGTATAAGTGTGTCATGTTCCCAAATAGCGCTAGGATTTAAATCTTTTTTAACCTATCTTATTTTTGGAGAAACGCGTAGCAATGCCACAGGGTGGGAATGCCATGTGAAACAATATTTAGGTGTACAGGACGCAGGTATCACGATCGCGAGCCACAATTAATAGCTATACAAAACGAATAGTTGTTTACATGATATAACGGCTCACAATATTACAACAAAACATTTCTTTTAAAGCCCCCTGACCCCCTTACCTCCACACCAAAATATGGCTGCCACACCTAGCCGCGAGAGGAATGCTGGGAGTGAGAGATCTGTAAACAATATTGCCAAATCGGCTGCACAATGCCCCTGTATGAATAATTAATAAGCATATTATGCTACAGATCTCTCTACAAACTATAGCTTGAAAAAGAATTCACAAAAACCAAACTGATCTTAACATAACATACTTACGCAAGTGTCAACAATACTTCATGAATGAATTTCCACATTTCATCCAGTTGAAGGTGATGTAGTGTGTACGCGGGTAGAAAACGTTTATTGCCAGTGCCAGTGAGTTAACTTCTCATTGCTTAAGAAATCCACTGAAAATATACCACAGAAAGGAAAGGAAGTCCTGGGAAATTCAAAGCTTTAATGTACTTAATTGCTCTCATTACTAGTAGCTTTCTTGTTTGGCAACACTGACGAAGAATGCAACCCGGATACTAAAATTCACTACCAAATCAAAATTATCGTACCCAGTTTTAAAAATAATATATGAATAATAAAGAAGCGGCATTTCACTCCACACTCGAAAATAATGTAACAAAATATGAACTGTAGAAGTACATTTTTTGTTGCTTTAAGAATCAAATTCTGAAATCGAATGAAAAACACTTTTATCTTGACAACAGCGTCATATTGTTCATTATGGTGGATTGGTGTAGATGTATGGGAAAGTTTTGTTAAGTGGATGTTTTGTTGACATAATTCAAACAAAACGTATTTAGATCATTTATCTTCGAAGATTATACATCGTACAGTGTAATTAGTGCATCACATTTACTCGAAAGAAGTAAAATTATAGTATTATCTTCAAACAACATCGCTTATTTTGCCCGCCCTGTGTTTCTAACTCTCTGATCCGAAGTAGGCCTATGGCCATAGGTATGTTATTGAAATCGTTTATTGTTTCAAGGTTTATTTAATTATTTTTATTAAATATCCCGTGTAAATCATTTTATGCATGCATTGAGATTATATAGTTACTTGTATACTTAACAAATTACGGTTGAAAGGAGTAGTTCAGAAATGACGAAAATTTATCTTAATTGCTCTTTCATTTTGTTTCAGATTTCCGCATATTAAAACGATTTATTTTCATTAAGTCGCTATTTACTTATATTCCATGGGACATCCACAAACTTGGTTGAGACTTATGTCTTGCCTTCAGACATTGTTTCTTCTATCAGCAAGGAACATAACATGACGCATTATTACCTGATGCCCATTCTTTCAAAGTAAGTTTCATGGTACTTAAAAGGAGTAGAACTGTACCTTCGGTACCCACAATGGATGAGCCAGTAAAGAAAAAGCAGAAAGTTGAAGGTGGAGGTGGAGATGAAGGAAAAGGACATGGCATAGATACACCAATGCAGGGTGTGGATGAAGATGATATGGGAGTGAATGGAACTGAAGTTGATGACACTGCAATTGACCAGGAACTTCTTATAATTCAACAGCATATTTTGAATCAGTGTCTGTGTCCTCTGACAGAAACATGTTTGCGGAAGCCATTTCAAGGAGTTAAAATTGTTTCAGAAAATCAAGGAGAGTTTTGTATTCCACTGGTAGACTGGAGTCGAGATCGGATTTTGTGCTTTGTTAGTACTCTACAGTTGTTATGTGAAGTTGCCATCAAACAGAATGTGAAAGGTGCAATGTGTACTAGAATATGTGAAATTTGTGATTTTGTGGTCAGGAATGAGTGTGGTCTTATTGAACAACTCATTGAATTTTCATCTCATAGTGATCCTTTTATATGTTTTGCTGCAAGTAGAGCTCTGTCTGCCTTTTTAATAGTTACAAAATCTCATGTTAATCCAACGTGGTTAGAAAGTTTGACAGAAAATGCTCTCATTACAACACAGCCTCAAAAGATATCGTTCTCACTTGAAGTTATAAAACATGTTATAGAATGGAAAGATTTGGACACCCATCCTCTTGAAGATAATACTGACAATAGACCACCTTCTAGTTGTGCGGTTGTGAATTTATCTGATCCTGAAAGCCTTGATACAAGTCAAGTGAAATGTCTGTGTATTCGAGCTCTCGAAGCCAAGTGGCCTGCCATAGTTAAGAAATTTGATGGTTTGATTGCCTCGTATTTGAATGAGTATGAGTCAACAATAGTGACATTTTTAGGATTATGGGAGGCCATCATCTCTGTTAAAGCAAATCTTTCTGTTATTGATACAAAACCTTTCTATGCTGACCTCGACAGCTTTGTAGTATTACTTAACAATTCATCAGTTCCTCCTGGCATTTGGAAACATTTGTTGGGCCTGTTTAATGAAGTTTTGTGTTATGGCAGTACTCTTGCCCTGCAAGATATCCTTGCAGAAGAGCCTTGTGCTCTAGCTCATTTGGTTGTGCGAAGTGTGAAAGACTGGCATTTGTTGGATATGTTGCCGTATAGAGGAGGTAGTGGACGATTTGGAGGTGGTGCTGGAGACGGCGATCGACCACTTCTACAGAAAATGGCTTTGTTGGTATTAAAAAGTGTTGCTGTGACTGTTAAAGAGACTAGATGTGACAGCTCTAGTGACAGTTCTTTGGGATCTGAAGCAGATGATGTTGATGCTGATATGGCTGTCATTGAACGCAGTATTCACGAAGTGTTGCGACAGTTAGATAACTGTGTCAAGACTCTTCTCCCCTATCATCCTGAGATGCCTTTGGCTCAGTGGGTTGTGCAGATTTTTGCTGATCAGGACGATGCCCTGATTGAAGGGATGGTGTGTTGTTTGGATGTGGCTGTTGGACTTTTTTACCGCAATACTGCTCAGCTTGACTTGCGCCGCACTTTGAGTCCTGCAATGACTTTTGTTCAGTTTCTTCAGGCTGTGTCACATGATCCAGATGTGTTATTGGATCTGTTGGTTTCAAATGAAACCTGTTTCTTACTGTACCTGCTTCGTCTCTTGAAATTTGTGCGCAGAAATTGGGCTGAATTTGTTGCTTGTTGTGGAAGAGAGTTGGATGATACTATGTCTGTATTAATTAGATTAAGACTTGCCATAGACAGGTTAGTCTCTAAAAATCTGTTTCCATATAACATTAATCCCGTTCTCAGGTTGCTTGTGAAATGTGAACAAATGTACGAAGTGAATGATGAGCCCCATATGATTTACACATAGTTTATAGTGTATGACTGTAAAAGGATTACTCTGTAAATGAAACCAGTATTTTTGAACTGGTACCTATGAATAATTTAACTATAAGATCTAATCTATGAAGATATTTTAATATTAATTTTTATTATTTATATAACATGCTGTAAACAGTACACAGAGAATTATATTCAGGCTGCCAGCATAAAGTTTTAAACTCTATTTTGAATACTGTAGATATTTTTATACTGTATATGAGGTATTTAATATTTATATGATCTGTCAGATTATATCACAATGCAATCACTGTTAAATGTAGCACAGAAGCCCATCTTCATAATAGTTACCCCTATTTCACTGTACAAACATTTACCTACCAAAGCCATGACACATTGCCTCTATTTTTCTTGTACAGTCATTATATACATTCCATAACAATATAAGTTTCATGTGTTATGCATTTGTTTTTGTACATAAGTTGGTGTTAAAACAAAAAATAATATAACCTTTCATTAAATATTTCTTCCATTAACTTGCTTCTTCTTATTTTGTTCCTGTGTTCCCTTAATTGTATTGATATGTTATTTGTGTTAACTGGTGTATTAAAGTATGGCTAGTGCATTGTAATATGAGTATGTTAACATGACAAGCAATGAATTGCAATTTCTATGAAGATATGACATTTAATAATTCTAAAATTATCTTACGTTAATTTTCCGTACTTTGGATAGTGTTGACTTACCCAGAGCAAGTGTGAACAAAAACTAAATTTGGAAACATTGAGTCTAAAGAAGGTTGGTATTGTAAAAAAGTATGAATATAAATGTCTTCCACAGCATGTATACCAAAACATTGACACACTTTAAGTTAAGTTTAAAGCACTTATCACTTCAGCATAGAAGGGATAGGATATGGAAATAATATTCTTGAAGCTGCGTTATTTTTGAAATTTGAATATTTGAAGGTGACGAGAGATGTTTATCTCTAGACTTCCTTGCTGCAATTTATGTGGTTAGATTTTCAGTAAATTAAAAGGATCAAAATATGTATCAACTTCCATGAGATTAAAAGACATTAGGAATATTGTATCATTTCAGCAGACATTAACATATTAACAAGACCATTTAAATAATGTTGAGTTTGATCAATGTTCGAAATATGTTTTTTTTATGATTGAGAAAATTTTAATATGATAAATCCCCAATTGTTGAAAACTATCGGAAGATGTACCTAAGGGGTATTTTTTTCACACAATGTCACTTTGAATCTGCAAATTTTAATTCATTATTGATTAATAAAATGTCTTGTTTTTTTGTTTTACCAATGCCAATTTTTTACTCTTAATCCTTGTGTGTGCCTGAAATTCTAGAAGTGATTTTTGGTATTAGTGCCGCTGATTCCAAAAATGCCAACTCGATTGGCTGCATCTCCTTTAGGCTGTATATTTTGAAGATATAGGGAACAATAATTTTCGTCACTTTTGGAATAGCAGTTCACTTAGAATATGTATAGTCTATTCATTATTGTTTCATTATAAACCAACAAATTCGAATTTGTGCATTTTTAGTAATGTGCAGTTTCACATATTTTTAATTTCTCGACCTTGAGAAGGAACTTCCTAGAAGAGAAAGATATGTAATGCTCAGCAAAAAAAAAAGGTAAATTTTCAGCAGAAAAACTATTAATACAGGGCCCTAGTAACGAAACTGTGGACAAATCCTGTTGTCAAATTTAGAAAAAGGAATTTCTTAACTCGTGTTGTAACCAGAATCCCTGTTTTGTGGGTCCTTGATACGAACAATCGGTTGATGGCAAACGTCTCTGTGAAAAATTCTAGCGGCTGAACTGTTCAACTGATTTTCTCCAAAAATTAATATTAAATAATTATGTTATATAAAAATTAATTATAATTAATTTTTAATAAAGGTTGCTAGCCTTCAGCCAATTTACGCTGTTGGGTGTTATGTAAGTTGGAATTGGTATATTTCTTCATATTTCATTTTAAATTGCGTTCCTTAAGGTACTTGTCTACTCAAAGCAAAAATTTCCTATTAAATCTAGTTTTAGCTCTTAATTGAATGAATTTAATGTGGATATACGTGCAGGAAACCTAAAATAACATCCTAAACTTTTTATAAAATTTCATTTTGAGTTATACAGGTGTTTACAGTGACAATATCTCAATTAATATTTAATATATTTTCATAATTATTTTTCCAGAAAAGAAAGAAATTACTGCAGCATTATGTAAACTTCAATGCTTTGTAAGAAATAAAATTTTAAATGGTTAAAAAAGTACTAAATTATAAAAAATAATTGGAATTATTTTCTTTTACCTTCTTTTGAATGCATCCCTTCAAATATTAATAATCTGTAAAATAGAGAATGACTCATTTAAATATCTCTGTTAGTTCCTGAGTTATGATGCATTTCATTAATCAAAACCTACGCAAGGAAAATGAACTTTTCATGAGAATTAATGAAAGATTGCTTACCTATGGTGCCCTTGCAGCATAAGTTACACCTTTGTCGTCCCTCATGCTTTTCTTTCCTCACAAGTACATTCTCCTTCTTTCGTTCTCTAGTGTTTTTTACTGAATAGTGTTTGTTTTCACTTTCTCGTATACATACATATAAATGAGTTATATATGTAGTACAGAGAAAGTTATGTAATGCTGCGCGAAAAAACGGCGGATTTGCGGCAGACAAAAATTCATTGCCTGACCCTGGTAACGAAAAAGTGGATAAATCCAGCTGCTAAATTAAAAATCCTCTAACAAGTGGTGTACCCAGAATCCGTGTTTTGTGGGTCCTTGATACGGACAAATTGATTGACGTTAAAATGTCCGTCCTCCTGTCTCGTGTATATGAACAATCCTAGCGCCTAAACTGGGCGTACGAAAACTGAATGAACTCCTATCAATGAGCTCTGCGATTTTGAAAACATTCAATAATTTTTGTAGGTACATATTTAGTCTCACAGACATTTTCTAAAAAATGGCTCCAATTTTTAGATGGAGTAAAATACCCTTATAAAGATAAGGGCATGGGGAAGATTTGCACTGACTCTATTTTCGATAATTGCAAACTTTTGAATTTTTTTCGGGGTCTTCCTACAATTACAAAGCAGAGATTTTTCCTTCAAAAGAAATTTGTTCTAAACAATTAGTTCTTTCTCATTAACGCTAAGTATTTTTTCCCCAAAATTTTAGTAGTTTTCGAGCAATATTGTTTGCAATATGGGCAATTTTATAAAATAATAAAAACAAGATTTTCTTGAAAACGGCTCCAAAAAATATTTTTTTGGCTTGTCTGTCACGTCATTAATATTTATATTTGCGACACTTTGTTCACAATATTGAGTTTATGAGTACATATGTCGCATAGTTCTCGAAAACTCAACAGTTTTCTGTGAAAACTAGCTCAAAAATCGGCATTGTCATAAACGCTCAAACGTCATTTTCTCAAAAACGACTCCAAATCTTTAGAAGGAATAGTACTAATTGTAATTTTCTTCCGGTGCTAGGCAGCGGTAATACGCCCGCACGATTCCCGTGCCCATTTTACTCTTGCAAACGTCATCAGATGTATCTTCTTGAAAGCGCGTGTGGCAGCATCCTGCCGAGCCCCCGAGAGGCGCTCCAGCGGACAAGGGCAACGGCTCCGGCCGGATTTCTCTGACAAGATGGAGGCAGCAGCAACACTAACGAGCTGAACTAAGGCAAGTAGGCTCGGCCAAGCGCTCCCGCTCCCCTTATTCAACTGGAATTTCTTCCCCTCTTCAAAAACCTAAAATCCCTCTCCCACCCCTCCCAAACAATCTCATCAATGACGGTTTCTCAATTCTGAAATATACCATAACATCCAAAGTAAATCTAATTTCAGTTCCCATCCATATGAACAACAATTTCAACCCACTTAACCTCCAAGACGAATCTCAACAATCCCACTATTGCGTACAGGCTCCACCGCCCCAATCCTCCACCCAATCTCAATCTACTACAAGTACCCAAAAGCCCCTCATCCAGACCTAGAAATGACACAATATTCGTTTCCGCTTCAAACATCCATGATGGTAAAGAATTAATCCCAGAGCTTCCAAAATCAACAACTGAAAAGATTCAGGTCAAATAGAATAAAGACAACCATATCACCCCCAAATCTGACTCTGCCCACTAGAAAATCACTTCACGACTCTTAGAAATAAAAGCCTCTGAACATTTAGAACAATTCTTCTTCTCAGTCCCACCAAACTTCCACTACCACAGAACTACCTTTGAAACCCGTGACAAACTAATCCTTAAAGACACCCCCTCCCCCAAACAAAATACCAATGACATGCTCCAAGAATCCCACAACCAAAGTTTCACCTGCTCCCACCTTTCAGAAATGATCCGACACAACCACCACCAAAGTTGGCATTTACATCATCAAAGTACCGAAACAGCAAATCCCCCAAATTAAATCTAACCTTCACTACCACTGCTTGCACCGTGTCACCATTGAAACCATACAGACCCAACAACCGAATCCCAAGATGCACCAACTGCCAACTTTTCAATCATACTCGAGCCCACTGCAACAGGACTCCAACCTGTGTTATTGTGCCCAACCCTATTGTACTGACAAAAGCCCTCACCGATTCCGACCTAGCTTCAAACTCCCAATGCATTAACTGCACAAATGAACACCCTGCCAATGACCCCCAATGCCCTTCCCTCATCTACTGTCATCAACAAAGAGAAGCCAACCAACAAAAAATTCACACTAAGACAATCCTTTTACAGCACCAACAACCTTCAACAATCCTCATTCCCATCTCTCCCCAACAGATCCTACGCACAAACCCTCTTTCACAATACCCAACACCACGCAACTCTGAATCTTCATCAACCTCCACCGTTACAGATCTTAAAGAATCCTCATAAAACCCTGCAATTTTTCAAAGCTTCTCCAAACTATCAAGGAAATTATTCACATCTTCAGAACTTCTGATGCCACTGCCCGAATTCGTCTCCGCTGGAACCAAACTCAGTGAACATTTTTACATGGTCTCTTCTCATTCTCACCCTCTCATCTTAAGCACCTGGACCTCCAACGGGAACCTACCTACTACGAAACCTTCTATTAAACCATTTTCTCATACTATTCTATCAGCGTTCTTCTTATTCATGGAACTTTCCTTAAACCACACGTTCCTTTCAGCATCCCAAATTTCATCACTTACCCTTCTGACAGACCAACCCAGGAGTCGCAACCGCCATCCTAATACGAAACAATATTCTTCACATCCATATACCACCCATGACCACCATAGAGCCAACGATTATATAAATACCCTCCTCCGACTCAGCTATCAACATTGTCTCAGTGTACAAACCACTAGACACGAGACTAAATCCTGAAGACCTTTCTCTTCTCTTCGCACATCCCACTCCCACTATCATCGCCGCTGACTTAAATTGTAAATATAGACACTTGGGCCGCCGAACTACCAACGCGAACGGGCGAATATTTCAGGAACATCTACATGACCACCCAGAAATTATCCTTCTAGCCTTCCTGAACCCACGTATCTCATTTAACACACTCTTCATGACATACTAGGCATTATACGTCAAGGCCAAAATCCCAATGTCACTGCCCCATACGTAGGATACGAACTAACCTCTGATCACTTTCCTGTTATTTTCTCAACACGAACTACAGTATACGCCACACAACATCTCTCCTCAATCATCGAAACACACTGGTCACCATTCAAACGGCATATTTCAAATAAGATCCACTCCTCCACTTCCATATCTAACCCGGACGAAATTGACTAAGCCATTTCACACTTCAGCCATCACATCAAGAAAGCCTTCGATAATTCATCAACCTTCATCCCCCGCGCTCTCCCCACCCTACCTCCCGACATCCCACTCCTACTAATACAAAAACGAAAGGTCCAACAAATTTTCTGCAGGACACGATCACTAATTGACAAAACCACTTCCGTCATACTAAAACGACAACTCCATGACAGACTAACATTAATGGACTAAACAAATTCGACCATACTAATACAGGACACTAATATACGCAACCGTAACAAACTACGTACCTTAAAAAATCCATCCGCCCAAAGAATTTACTCCTACCCCCCTCTTTAAATCTGACAACTCCCTTACATACGATCCGCAAGAAATAACAATCATGTTTGCTAGCACTCTTGCAACCCGCTTGCACCGCACCAACACTCGCATCCCAGACTACGCTATCCTTCAATTTAAACGAACCCCACCCTTACCCCCAGAAAGACAAACCATGTGGACTATACATACCGACGACACCACTGAGGCGATAACGTCTCTTCAAAACATCAAAGTTCCAGGACCCGACAAAATCTACCCTATATATCTTAAAAAATTAACTTTAAATGCAATCTCTCGCCTAACCTTAATTTTCAATGCATGTCTTCAAACCGTGTACTTCTCCAAACTTTGGAAAACCGCCACTGTCACTATGATCCCTAAACCTCATAAAGGCCCCTAGCAACCCACCAACTATCGACCTATCAGCCTCTTTTCAATTCCTGGAAAAGTGTTCGAAAAAATTATTCTAAAATTCATAAACCCCAACCTCCAACCCCACATTTACCCATCACAATTCTGTTTCCGCTCTGACCGATCATCGGCCCTTCAAATACTCCACCTTGCCATAAATAATACCACAAAACTTCGACATGAAACCCGTCAGACATCTGCTCTTTTCACCAACCTATCCGTTGTTCTCCAAATCACCAAATTCTTCTGTTCAAATTAAAATCATACCTTCCAACTTATGCTTTAAATCTCCTATCCAACTCGCAGAACTTTCAAAACCAAATATCTCTCACACTTTCCCCCCTCCCACCTCATCTCGGCGGGAGTTCCACAAAGTGTAGTTCTTTCTCATCTTCTCTATTCAATCTATCTTAATAATATTCCTCCTTGTCACGGCATTCAGCAATTTCTTTACGCAGATGACTAGGTCCTTCTCTCACCCCATCATTCTTCTCAGTATTCTATCAAAAATCTTCAAAATGTAGCTCATACAATTTCCCACTGATTCCGAGAAAACTATCGCTATTAACCCTTCTAAATGCCAAGCTATCATCTTTATCTGGTGAAGTTGCCCACCCCCTTTCCCACTTATCACCATCAACAGCACTCCTCTCCCTGGTTCTCAGAAATAAAATATCTCGACACCACCTTCAACTAAAAATTAACTCCCCATCTCATCATCATCATTCGCAAAGCAAACCAAAAAGCCAACTTCATCCAACCCATCCTTCAATTTCTGTCAACAAAAAACTCTTCCTGTATTATACTCACGTCAGATCCATTATTATAATTAATGTTATTATCATTATTATTATTATTTATATTATTATTATTATTATTATTATTATTATTATTATTATTATTATGTGCAGTGACGTGAGTAAGAAAGACATTACAGCTCGCTGTATCGCAGTGCGGTGAAGTGATGATTGGTGAAGTGGAGTTCTATGAAAGATTGCACGGTGAAATGTTCACGTGATTTTGTAAAGTTTGTAGACTTTGTATAGTTGTTAAGTTCTGTAATGTTAAGATAGTGTATTCTGCCACCAAGTTCTCACACTTAATTGCCGAATTATCAATAAATTAAAAAAAAATCATTACAACGCCTCTTCCACTAGGTCAATCCCCCACACCTCATATAACACCTCAAAATCGCATCACCCACCTTATCTTTCACCCTCTTTCCAGCCAAAACTACATCTTCCAACCCAACACAACATCCATTCACTTCCCCAATATATTTTCAACTCATCCCGCAACACGGTGCAGCACTTTGTAAACAATCCCGTCTCTATTCAACTTATTCAACCACACAAACACATTCTCAACTTCCCTCCACGTCATTCTTGAAAAAGCACCCCCTAGATATCCTTCAACTTCCTCCTCCTCCGACCTCAAATTACCCAAGAAACTGAGACTCACAGCACACCACGACAAAACCCTCAACAAAACAACCCCTCTAAAAAACTTCCTACTTACCCTCCAACCTCTAATAAAATAATATCTCTGCTCTTTCCCTCCTTTTTGTTTCCTTGCCCTTTTAACTATCCTACCTTCAACAAAATAACTCGTCTCAATTCTCAACTACCCCCTGACCTACCCACCCCCAGTCCTTCTGGGGAACGGGAGGCAGCTGTCCATTCCAAACTTCGAAGTAAGAAAATCCAGGTCCGTAGACACAGATCCATCCCGTCTACACGAAATTCATCGCCGCGGAGTATGAGGCAACCTATAATTCGCGTTACCTGTGTGTTTGGCTTACTCAATACAGCAGTGTTTGAATAGTCCAGATGTATTGTGCTACATTGGGCGAGCACCTACTCTTTTAAGGAAAATACACAACCAACCAAACTAGTCAACCTCTCCTGAGTTCATATTCTGGACATATTTGAGTTTCTGTATGTATCGGTCGTGTTTTTATTTTTTTCACTAGAGATAAATACAATGGATTAATAAAATAAAACGTCACTTTAAAACGTATATGATTGGATGCGGCCCACATGTAGTAATTCCGCCTAATATGGCACTCCATGCACTTAAAAGCTCCGGTTTTTCTATTGCGACAGAAAATATTTTGAGTTGATGATTAAATTAGAACGAAAGAATTGAATTCCGTGACATTCGTTATGTTGTTAACGTCTGATTTTTTTAGTATTTAATTAGTTTTGTATTTAAAGAATGTAATGTTGTAGGACCAAGATATTATTGGTCAGATACTACGTTTTTACGAATAGTAAAGGGATTAACAATATATTTAAAAATTGTTCGGAGCGATGAGAAAATAAAACATTTGTATAAGGTAATGCTGTAATCCAACATAATTTTCCCTACCGTTACCAATAATAACAATACCTGTTTCAAAAATCAAGTGAACATTATAATTCCTGTTCTTCAAATGACATAAATAACACATAACATTTCATATAACTATCCGAAACATGACAACCTTGTCGTTGTTTAATATTTTCCCGTTATTCCTCCCCTTGCATGGATGGCCATTACCCCTTGTTAATCTTAACTTAAAATTTACTAATTTATTCCAAAACTTGGTCTTCGTACATTATTAAAAATTTGTATGTCCCTAGTAACAACTTCCCTGTTCGAGTCCCCAGCCAGAGAGTATATATCCCCAGCGTTCTTGACTGTCGTTCTCGCGTCCATTTAAATCCAGTCCAATCGTGGCAGCTCTTCCTTTCCACACAGTTTTATGTCTCGATCCACTTATAACAATTTACCAATTAATAATTTACACCGTTGATTTGTTTACGAAATTGGAGAACACTCCCTCAACAACTCAGTATCACAGAGTCGTAACACGTTCTGCCTCCGACTCCCACCGCCTCAGTATCAGTTTTTCATTTATTTTTTAACACGTTCTTTTTCTGGTCTGCACATCCCGGATTCTATTATGTAATGTCACATTATAGTAACTTATAGTACTGCGTTTTCCATTGAAGCAAAAAAAAAAAAAAAAAAAAAAAGGGAAATGGGCACAAATCCGCAGCTTAGTGATAATTATACATATCGGTATTGGTTTAAAATATGTTCCCGCCCTTGGGCAAGTCATTTTTACAAAATCCACTGATTTGTAAATCAGGAGGCACAGCAATAGTAGAATTCGTAGCTTAATAAACTTTGCTTACAAGAATTACAGGGTGGGATTTGCTTATTAAATCGATATTTTAATTGTGGGGGTACTTTATACGAAGCGCTTTGGACATCATAAGAAAAAAAGGCACCAATTTTTTTATTTTTTTGTCCCCTGGTAGGGTAATGGACGCTTAAAAGAATCGTGTGTCATTTTCGTAGAAAACAAATTCTTCGAAAATTATAAAAATTCAAAATATTTTCGGCATCTTCCTACAATTATATTGGAGATAGATATTCTTTTCATAAATGAAATCTATTCCCTAAAGAAAGTTTTGAAATAAGATCCTGTTTAAACTTTTTAAAATATGAGTCGTTTTCGTGCAATTTTGCGCGAAATAGAGGCAATTTTAAAACCATTCCCCCCCACCCCACAAAAACCACTCCAATTTTTTTTCTTTAATTGACGAGGGTGATCTTTGCCTCAGACGGTCTGTGTACAAAATTTGATTCATGAGTCACGTACAATTTTTTGAAGAAAGAGTTTTTGTGTAATTTGCGCTTGAAATTAATGAAATATATACAGGAGTCCCATCAACTATGGGCCACAAGAAAAGTCCTCAGAGAACAGAAACAGATCCAAAGGATATGAAAAATTATTAATTTTTTAAAATTATAATTTATTAATGAAAATGCCAATATTAATAATATTTTTATTCCATTCTACAGTTTGTATTCTCAATGTATTGATGTAATTCTTTCGAGCAATCCACAAAGCTTAACTGAGCAGGAATTAATTTGAGCAGGAAATAATTTTTTTAATTTGAGCAGAAATGCTGCAATGGATGTATCAGAAGCTCATTGTTGAACGTCGAGATGGTGGCGGTGATACAATGAAGTTGTTTTATTTACAGTTGAGCTTGCATTTACAAATTAGCCTTTTAGAAATGATTCGAAACCTATTTGATAATCCATATTTTTTGTCTGTATTGCGAGATATAGAACACATATTTTCACTGAATGTAAAGTCACTTATCTACGCATCTTTCAGCATGTCACCAGCAATACATTTCATATTATAGACTTTCAAAATTTCAACAAGTATGAAGCAATTTAGTAGAATTTTGATTATGTTTTGTTTTTTTGTGTTTTTTTTTTTAAGTTTACTTTTTGGGTAAAAAATTAAACAAGGTTTTCTAAAACTTCAGGATTTATTTTACATTTTTACATAAGAATCAGGTAGCCTTTTCTTGGCTATTGAATGTTAATAGGTTCAGTTTACTATTTAAAATGTTTATTATATTAGATGAGTTTGACCCTAGTTTATAATAAAAAAAAAATAAATGCACTGAATAATATTATTATAAACTTTAAAGTTTTATTTTTCTGAACTTTGAGGCAGTGTCAATATATAATAAGGCGGTAATAACTTAAATTAATATTACATATAGTAGAACATTAGTAATTTAATTGATTTATTACTCTCAATTATTTAAGAACTGTATATGATTAACTACACTACTAACCCATAAACTTTTGCTTCTGTATACCGTATCATTCAAATTTATTCCTGCTCCTGACTATCAAAATGAATGAAGATATGCATCACAGGCGCTTTGTTTGAATTGTACGCTTTCAAGTAATAGCTGAGGTGTTAGTAGCACAGAAAATTCAATATTTCAATATTACATAGCCGATTCCAATAACGAGAAAGCATGTGCTGTTGAAGCCCGTCTAGTTGATGTTTTTGGCCATATCATCAATGCAGAATTTCACAGGGCCAGATAATGTTATTTGTGATAATTTGTTGGTACTATGTCTTCCAAGAACAACATTAGCTGGCTTCAACAGGCATAGTTTAACAAGTGTCTCTCAAATAATATGACTTTTCTTTTGCCTAGTTATAAGAAGAGGTAGCTCATATGATGCTTCAAGCACTTTTTCAGATAATTCAACCAAGATCCAATACTATCCAATTTAATGCAATTTAAATGTGCAAACTTAGCAGCAAAAAAGTCCTATGGCCTGTCTTTAACAGAAGCATGTTCTGTTGACAAACGTCGTTCACGATGACTAGGTTTCATGGCATCATTGCTCAATCCTTCAAAGCAAACAACACACTGCGGATGTTCGATCCTTAAAGCATGCAAATAAACCCATATTTAATTTAACCATTAAATATCAGTTTGCATTTTTCCCCTGAGCTCATCTTAAACGATATCTTATGTCACAAATCACACAATGCAACTATGACAATAAAATTCAAATCTTCCTAGAGCACCAAGTCCTCAGGAATGTTCTGATACACATGACTCAATGGGTCATGCCCCCCCCCCCCCGACACACGCTTTCAGAGTCAATGTTGTAAAAGTAAAATGTAAAAATTAAATCTCAAAGTTTCAAAATTCAACTAAGCCAAGTTTATGCTAAGAAATGAATGAAAAGATCAAAAACTGACCAATAGCATTTCTTCTTAGTGCAATACTGATACAAAACTTTCTATCAAATTATGGATGGTACATGTTCCTTGGTTTCAGTATATAGTGAAGAAAGATCTTTGTTGCAAAATTCTACAGGTAATTGTCAAGGCAACTTGAATGTATCGCAAATTAAACAAAGCTGATTTGTTAGAGGAACTTCGAATTAAGAAAATTATATTCTGTGGAAATGACAATTGAAAGTATCTGACATAACAATTCGCTCTGATCTTCATGCAGTTTAAATTTATCAAGTAAATAATAATAATACAATAAATAAATTTAGGATGTCTGAAACACTGAATTTGCCTTTCACTACTCTTCCTTTCAAAAAGTTGTTTTACATCATTTAAGTGTCCAAGAACTACAATTTACATTATCTCCTATATTTAATTTTCAGTTTCTTTGGAGAGTAGTTTCAGTTCAATACTATTAATAGATAAGACAGAGGAAAAAGGCCAAATGAGTTAGTCAAGCTCTTATTACACAGTTACATAACCTTTACTGTGACACATTTTTCTCTTCTGATTCTCTTTCTTTGAGGTTAACTGGGAAAGAGACAGTAATAAATATTTTTCAAATATTCTCTGCTATTTTTAATATACATACATATTCAAAACTAAAAATTCCATTATTAGTCCAACTGGAATTTATGATAAAATATTAAGAAATTGTACGAAAAGTATATTGCTACAAAATGTACTTCTAAGACAACAAGTACATAAAGAATATAACTATGTTTTGTAATAATATTCCAAAAGGAATATGTGCATTTCTGACTACAATAAATAATACATTGCTATATTTGCATTATTTAACTAAATTATTTAATTATTTGCAATCAAAATGGACTTAGCACTCTAATAAAATACTGAACACAAAAATTTAAAGCACCTTATATGAACAGCAGATAGGTTAAATTAGAAGATGAACTTGTTTTGAGACATTTAGTGCCTTCCATGGAACTTCATCTCATCTTAAGGTGTCTTCAGCAAAAACAGTGCAGAACTGCAGTTTCATCTAGGCAATTTTCATATTTGTACATAGTTTAATAGGGATTCATTATAAACTGAATATTAGTATTAAACTATTCGTAGGTATTAAAGAGGCGGAATTCAATTTTGTTTCATTATGCTTGAGGTAATTTGTTGCTCTCATATTCAAAATATTTTTTCAGGCTAGGAAATTTGCATTACTCAAGTATATTGAGACTGAAATATGAATATGTACTTGAGCATATCTCAATAGTTTGTTGCTTTTTTAAACAATTTTTTTTTAAAAAAAAAGTCCTTAAAACCAACATTTTCATAATATGCCACGACTAAACAACTCTCTAACAGTTCTCAAAACCAGTTACACACAAATTACCACATCAAGGAATTAAAAAATAAGCTTTCTGATCACTAACATGTTGAAAGTTCATTTAAAAACACTCTTCAAAAAAGTGGAATGTAATTGTACAAAACATGAATATTTCCACATCAGCAGTACTATTTCATGAAATTCTACAATTACTTATTCTAAGAAAGCAAAAATATCATTGGTAGGCCCATGACTATAGTACGTTAATAAAATGTACATTGTAGTGTTTTTTTAAACTTAAAAACAAAGACAAAACTATTGACGACATGGATTTTGTTATAACTAAATGATTTGACACTAAGAAAAAAGAATGTAACATCAATAACATCTATTTTTGGCATAATTTAATTGTGCAATGCATTTGACTTTCAATGGTCACAAAGCAAACAAATTCTAACTTTGGACAGGTATTAAATCTTGTTTCTTTAAAAAAAATTTTGTTTCTTAATATCTGTTCAAATATATTTGTTTCAGAATATGTTTCAGTCTTAAGAATCCTCGTTTTGTTTTATTTACAAAATCGCTTCACACAATCTTGGGCTTGCTTAGAAACATTACAAATATAAAAATATTATATTTGCTATCAATTGATGTTCAGTGTCACTATTAAAAACCTAATTTGCATCTAAGGTATCATTTTCCATGGACTTACCAATTCAAGAATATTTAAAAATTATCCAATTGAAACATTTAGTTTCGTAATAGTCTAGGTAACAAAAAGACTATTTCTCATTTATAATTTTCAATGGATCTAAAGTGCCCAACAAATATCACAAGTCTTTGGGTCACCAAAAGTCAAATATTGCTCAAAATATCCCAAATAAATGTCTAAATTTGCATTTGAAATCATTTTCCCTCTTTTGATCCTCTACAGTGCATGACATTTAGACACAAATCTAAACTGTCACTAATCATGAAAATTATGATAGACCATGTTCATTCTTTATACCATTATCATAATATTAGGGTAAAACATAAATATTTTTTTTAACTATTACGATAACAACTGCAGACTGATCATTTAGAATTTTAAATGGAGAAGAAACAAAAGACTTTATACCATCTTTAAAATGTGCAGCCTCGTTCCTTCTACTTTCTTCCCTCCCCATCCTACCACTGGAATGTCTCACAAAGCTGTTCAATCTGATGGTCAACACCTTATCTTGCTCAATAATCAGGTAAAGTGCTCACCTTCATCTCCACTTTTTGTTGAATTTTCTTGTTAAACATATCAAAATATATAAATCTTTCTACAAATAAAATCGTATTAAACAACCCTCAAATTCACTCCAGGACAATTTATGAAATTAATACTTCAAAAAATTGTTTATGGCAATCAGTATGACTTACTTATTTGGTAAAAATATTGCAATATATTACAGCAGCATTTGTGAATTATTTCAAGAATGAATTATGATCAATTACCTGAAATACATTCAGTGCTTTGAAATAAGTAATAAATTAAGTAAAAAAATGAAATATAAAAAAAAAGAATGGGTATTAAGAAACATTCAAAGAAAGATGAGCCTTCAGAAAAAAAAATCAAATCCAAGGATATTAACAAATGCAATGAAAAGATTCAACTATATTTGTAATTAACAAATTTTAAATGAATCTTAGATTTTGGCAGCATGGGAATACAGGTTCAATGTACAAAGAAATAATTGATGACAACTTTAACCTAAGCAATTTTATGAATTTTCTAGATCATTTAACATTGATTCCTTTATCATGCAAATATATTAAATTGGTTCCAAGTCTACTTTCTACTTTTTTTTACATCAATTGTGTGACCTTTGTACTATAAGGGAGTATGTTCTACATCATTCTCTGTAGATGGTTCTCCAGTAGTTCTTCTGATTTCAACTTTACCTCATAAGTAAGTTCTTAGAGCTTTGTATACATTTATGTACATTCACCATACACAACTTACATGAAGATGGTTCAGTTACAGACAATAACTGTGAACTCAGTTAATTTGCCTTCCAGTAATTATATATTGTAACTTAAGCTATCAGTTTTTTTCAAACGTTTATGTGATATTTTGATTTTAATAAGAACAGATTCTATGAAATGAGGTAAAACCGACCAGCGGGGATAAATCAGATCATTTGCATCAAGATTAATTTTTTTGGAAGGAATGAAACAAACTATTAAAATACTGAGTGTTAGATGAAAATGAAATATTTTTTTGTGTAGATGGGGGTTGTAGACTAGTCTGATTGGGATCATGCTTTCTATATTCCATAATAAAATTTCTATTTCCCTGATACATATAAATGTATGAAGATTTTTTTTGCAGAGCAAATCAAGAATTCATAAAAATGAACATTGTCCCACAGGAAACAAAATTATTACTTGGAATACTTAATTAGGGCAGTCCACAATAAAATGGGTTTTCCATTGAAAAGCCATAATGTTTCAGGAAATAAAAATCGTTCTGGTAAACTTGAGAAACAGTTTTAAGGACAATTGGCTCAGTTCAGAATGGGTACAGCATTTCTTCAGTTGACACCGAGAACTTTCTGTTAGGATAGGTGAGAATGAAGAGATGCTGCATCAATTTTACCTCCAATGCAAGATAATTTCAACCATTCCAAAATTGTGAGATGGCAGAAAACCTACTTCAAGAGTTGCTAAAAATATAATAATAATTAAATGAAAAGTTACACATTTTATACATTCTATATAAGAAATATGAGAGTATTTGTGTATATTTTCATAGGTTATACACACAAAACACAAATAAATGATCGGTTTTACCTCAGTTCATGGTACAAAGGAGAAAGGTCTATTTCAAGAGAATGACGTTGTCATAAAAACCTGAAATTAACTTCACCTTTGTTACGCCAGTGGTGAGGCAATAAATGTCTCAATTCTTAATAAATGACATTAACATGAATTTTTCATTGTACAAATGAATTTACAATTAAAAAGAAGAGTTCATTCTCAATTGTCACTTGATCATCCTAGACAGACCTACAATGAAATTAAAAAGCAAAAATGTATTTACCACATTTCTTCCATTCCACACAAGTCATCATTCCATACACCATATTCTCATCAATTTGCGTGACTCCACGCATAAACCATGAGGAAGCATTAATTCATAATGCCTCTACACTCACATTAAACGGAGAGGATTGGAACACTGTCTAATAGTACAAAGACTGCAGTGAATACGGTGATAGCACACTATGTTGTATCGTAATCTTCATCCAAGTCCTCACTCTCATTTGGCACAAGATCTTTAGCGTTGTTAAAACCACTACTCACACTGCCACTGGAGTTGGTGTTATTCAACGTTTCTTTGTAAAAATCAGCAACAACAGTAGATGACGTTGTTGCGAAACTTGCCCTTAGAGAGCCATCAGGAGCTTCCTTTGCAGGTACAGGATTAGGAGTCTGCTTTTCCACTCTCCGCGAGTATGAACTAAAAGAAAATTAGGAAGTTAACGAGTTGCAGAAAAATTCAACACACTTTGAGAAATATTGTGGAGATAAAATTAATCGTTTCACCTTCAAAACTCTGTAATCAATATTTTTAACAAATTTCACAGAATAAGGTCAATAATAAACAGACAAAATTGTTAAACAGTTTGGGAAGAAATGACCTCTGTATTTGGATCTGGAAGGTGCTTCTCAACATGTTTTGAACTGGAATGTGTCATGAATCATGCCTTGATGCTTATGTAACAGCAACTTGACCACATTTTTATTATGTGAAATCATAACTACTATACTGTGTATGAATTTTCATTCATACACATGAGCAAAGTTTATGTAGTTTTAATTTAAGATCTTTCTTCTTGAAAAAGATCCAGAACCAGCGGCATACCCAGAATTTGTGTGTGTGTGTGTGTGTGTATAAAGAGAAAGTATAAAGCCAATTTAACATTTTCCTTAAAGAATTTTCATTTATGCCACATGAATAATGTACTTTTATTTGTCAACTTGTAGTTAATATTTGCCACATTAATTATTGATATACTGAATGGATATATTACTTTAGAGTAGAAAATTAGTAAGAGCTGTATGTTTGAACATGTATCATAATTGATATCAAGATGTAATTTTTGTATTTGACATAAACAGTGGCCACTCTTATTATGTATGAATATTGTTAATACTATATAAATAATTTTAAAAACTTTACAATTAAATGTATATCATTTTTATAATTTTTAATTCAAGATATTGAGTCTTTTTCCCCCAGCATTATTCTACGAAATTTCTTTTAAAAAATACAATCAATAATAATTTATGTTTTATTAATACTTTAATGAGTTTCTATTTCTCCATTATATGCACGTTATAACATTCCTGCCCCTTTGGTGGCTCATGGGGAGCATTATAACTTTCTATGAGGTGACCCTGAGTTTGATTCCCAACTGAAGCATTCTAATACAAATTGTTTCAAGTAATATAAGCTGTTTATATAAGTAGTATATGTAAGATGTGATGAAAGAAGCATACGTAAGACAAAAAGCTAGATAGGGTGAGGAGATAGAGCCATGCTCACCATACGTCTCCCTTACCCTCAGGCAATAGTCGGATTAATCTGATCCTAAAATGCCATATACATATATCGAACTCCCAAACTTCAGTGAATTTTTGCACTTGACAGAGTTTGCACTATAAACCTGTTACTGGAAAACATTTACTAACTAGGACTATTTACTTTTCAAGGCAAACAGTCATTTTAAACATAAAGGCCAAAAATTGTGGGCACAAATAGTGAAGCAACAGATAATTTTGAGTGGCAGTTGTTATCAACACTCTGAATGAAAATCTCTTAATGTATATTGTGTAAAATCGAGATAATTTTGTCTGCTGAATGATACTAAACATAAATTGAACAGGTGGGAATGGCTATGCCTAACATAAGTATAATCTTGGTACATTAAAAAACCATTAATATTGACATATCCAATATCAATGAAACTGGTAGATTATCCAACAATAAACATAGACAGCAATTAAAGCAATTTGTGTGTTGTTAAGGTTCAGTTCAATGAGATCCAATTTTCAACTTCTTCAAAATAAACAAAAAAATGATATTTTGGTCAACTTATCAGTGTTAGGTATAGCCAGTTTTGTATTATATAAATAGAAATACAGATGTTCTCAGAATAACACAACTGTGATAATTAACTTCTCACACATGTTCTTTCAAATATTTGCACAGCACAATACACCACAAGATAATCTGTAGAAAATAGGAATTAATCATTACCGTGGTCCGTCACTCGAGTTTGTGCTCCCAATTTGAGGTGACATAACTGCTTCATCATAGTCACTTGTCACAACATCAGGGAGACTTGCAACTAACTCCTTCAGAAAATCGAAACGACTTTCTGAGAGGATACACTGCTTCCTTACAAGGCAAAAAAATGAAAATCAATCTTCAATTAATGAACTGCAAACAATCTGTACATATCGTTGGTACCCACATTGCAAAAAAGGCAAATGTGTACTTACATATGTGATGGACTCAATGTTTTGGCATTCTTTGCACTGGTTATCTCTTGAGCTTTGGTTAAAAGTGACTCTACAAATAACTCAAGAGTTCTAGGTAACAATGTTAAGGATTACGTCAACTTAATATGACAAGAACATACAATAAAATTACTAGTAACACAAATCATAAGTGAAGCAAAAGTTGAAAAGGATATAGATAATAACAGGAACAGCTTGTGCCACCTTTCCCACTTCATCATCGGTCTGCATGATTTTCTTAATGCGACCCTATAACATTATATAATCAAAATACAAAGATTGATGACAAGTAACATATTTGTTCTGTAAGAAAGAAGTACTTTTTAACCTAAGTATGAATATACCAATTGCACAGACATACCAATACTAAAATACTATTAATGATAAAAAATTAAATCCCATACATTCCTTGAATAAATTATGAATTTAAATAAAGAAAGTAATAAACTGTATGTGAATAAAAAAATACATGCCACACAAAAATATGTTTGCCCTTCTAACCTCCCAAATGTCCTATTGAAACACGTAAAATAATATTTCCTTTGATAATGCAAACTTGATTGAAATATTACGTCAATCGCTTTCAGCATTTTACACATTCATTTATTGGATTAACTGATGTCAGGAATAATGTTTACAAACACACACAAAACAATATGGTCAACTGACACATCTACAGAAACTTACCGCGGGAAAACGGGCATTATATTTCTTCTTCTTGCTCGGCATCGTGATCTGCTAGCCACAACAAATATAAATGCAATTACAAAATATTACAAAGCACAAATCTTAGTTTTCATCAAAAGCAAGGTACCTCAAACACGCGACACACCTCAATCAACACAACCTGAGTAATACAAAATACTGCAAAATTCTAATGGAAGATCCACAACCACCAATCAGCACCAATTCCACACATCCACCAATCCATCTACATACACCTTGGAAAGATCGATTGCTTAATCGATATAATAAATATCGAAAGTGAAATGGCGGTATTACGGTCAATGTTCAAACTTGAATTACATGGCCCTTGTCGTAAGTGACCAATGCTAAACAAAAATATGTTCAAATTAAACCAAAAGAAGAGGTCTATCGACATTTGATTATCAATTTTATTATCACTCTGCTGTAATCACTTTATTTACCTTTTTGTTTTTATCGATAGCTTTTTTTATCTAATGGCTTGCACGGTGGAACAATAGCTTGTATTAATATAATATTGAAATGCAGTGGCGGCTGGTGCCTCAGACTGAATTAATTGATTGTTAATGATTCCGGGCGCGTCAACTACTAAGAACATTAGTCCCGCAAGTGTAGTGCATGCTCTGTTTTTTGTTCGGGAAGAAGCCGTGGTCTCCCCCGCTGCGTGGCGAGATCCGGCGCCGTCCTACCCGTCGGATAGGGGGGTTTCCCAACCTAGTTTCTCCATCAGCGGGGCACCGCCCCAGCCGGGACGAACTCTAGGCTTTCGACTTGTGCATCATAGTATAGCTGTATGTAAATAAGGGGCGAGGATACGACATAGAAAGGGAAGGAGAGATCGCGCGCGGTCCGTCACCCGTTTGTAAGGGTACTGTTCCGGCATTCGCCTAGTGATGATCTAAGAAACCACGGAAATCTACCGGCCAGAACAGTCGGCTACTAGAATTCTTCTCCAGACAGTGACTGAATTCGACCTAGCTGACAATCTAGTGTCGAAAATCCTACCACCGTCGAGATTCGAAACTGCCCTGGACCGAACCCTGACCCATCTCTCCCGGTCCAACAGACTGGAGGTTGCACCTCTATCGAATGACGGAAATGTAATTTACAAAATTCAAAATACGAATATACTAGTTGAATGTGGCGTCGCCGACGCTGTAAACTGTTCTCAAAGTATTTCATGTGTTGAATATTTCTTCAATACTTCTTATACAATGTTCTTACAGTATCTGGCATTGGACTTACCAATGAATCGTAGTAGCAGTTAATATTATACTACCGTTCAAGAATTTCCAACACCCAATAACCTAGTATGTTACCTTCATACGGGATATGAACTGGTAATATTGTAATTTTAAAATTACATTCATCGTAAAAAATAGTTGGTGTGAATGATGCAAATAGTTAGACTTTAGTACAGCTATATTTTTTTACATTTTGTTTTATAATAACACAAATTATCTCCTGTAAACTGTTCTTCTACTTTACTCTCTTTTGCTACTAAAAGATCGTCAGAATTAGTTCGGAAAATTTTCAAGAAATTTTCTACAACTACTTTTGATTCTCCTGAGTTGCTTAACACTACTATAACAATTCTATATACTACTATAATAATTCTTTAACTCAGTGTGGTTTATGTTCTGAAAGTGAATATATATGTATATCTCAAAATTAATATTTTAGGTAATTTGCAAATTTATGATAAAAAATACGCATGAAATACGAATATTACGAATTCAAAACAAATTCTAATGATTTTCATTTAAAATTGCTTGTTTGGCAACAATTAGTGTTGCAGCATCATGGGAGAAAGTTATGATTTCGTGGACTGAAAATAATCACGGTGTACTGGGGGTTGATGAACGCCACCTATTTAGATCGATTTAGGAGGCGTTGGTTTAATTCCTGGCCTTATCACTAAGATCGCTGCGCCAAAACATGAAAAAGCATGTTTTGGAAATTTCTTCGAATCTTCTGGCTGGATCTGAAAACAAATTGTCAGTTCTCCATGAGGTGACCGAGACGAGTCGAACGGCGCCTCATACATCTCGCGTGTTCTGGTGGCACTTCTCGGAGGGCGGGCGCTGTGCGCTCTTCCCTGCTTAGGGTGAGCGAGGCAGGTGAAGCGTGGGTGATGGCTATTGCGGGTGTGATGGCGTGGGTGGTGGGCTGGGACGGTCAGGATTCCTCTGCGTACCCCAGACTAGCTGTTGTTTGCAGAGGAAAGGAAAGGGGGGGATGGTTCTAGGGAATGAATGGGAGGACTGATATTGTGGCTATTGAAAATCTGAAAGTTTGGTTCCAAATTAGGAGGGTAGTTTGGTCACTATTGTTATGAGAGTGGTAGTTGTAGGATGTCGAGTGGATATCGGAAACTTCGGGTGTGTTTCAGGGGGTTACGTAAGACGTCAGCATAGGGCGGTAGGAATTGTCGCAAGTGTGGGTTTTGCAGAGATTTCTGTTTACTTTTGGTCGCCGTCTGAGTTTGTGTTTTAGTCGTGTGTAATTGGTCATAGGTGGTGGTCGGAAGGCGAGTATAATGAATCGGTTTTCGGCTTTTGTCAGTTTGTTGTAGTTCATTGTCGTAGTCATTGCCCAGGTTTCACAGTTGTATTTCACTATTGGTATAATAAAAGTTTTGTACATTTGGATTTTTGTCTTTGTCTTGGGGTGGCAGATTACTGGTATTAGTGCGTTTAGTCGTTTGTTCGCTTTTTGAACTGTCTCGTCGATGTGTCTTGTCATAGTTTGTTGTCAAGAGTAATGCCCAAGTATTTAGTGGTCTTGGTCTAGTTGATTGGCGTTCCGTTGATTGTCAATTGGGGAAGTGCAGGGTCTCTGTTATGTCAATGGAAGAGTATGGCGTGGCATTTGTCAGTGTTAAGTTTCAGGTTGTTTTCGTCTGCCCACTTTGCTATTTCACGAGTGAAGTATTTGGCGAAGTCATACGTCTCGATTGGTGCTCGGGAAGCGGTCTAGCCGCGAGCGACAGAACCGCACATCCGCACACTCAAGTTTTACTCAAATTCTGTATAAGGATAATAAAAATGTAATCAATTCAAGTAAATTAATTAAAACTAAATTGGATAAAAGTCTATATTGAAACATCACTTACAAATTTTTTTGCGTAGTGTCCGTGTCAGATATATACACCTTGGTTCTGGCTTTGAATTCCACTGGGCACCTAATTTCTACTTCAACACATTGTAAAGCACTGATGTTTCGACATGTTTCACATAAATATTTTTTTTTATTTCGAATTTCACCAGCATACTCTATTTTGTAATAATGATCCCTCCACACACACACACACACACACACACACGCTCGTGTTCTCACCGGTTCTTCAACAGGAACTGCAGGTTGATGCATCCACCGTGAGAGACAGAAAGGGGCTTCCTTCCAGAACGGCCAACTTTACACTAAGAATTCATCAAGTGTACATTTTAAATCAATGAATCTAATATCATATGGAAGCAAATTCTCTAAACATCATCAATAATGCATTAAATGCCGCCAATAATTGACTGAACTTGTGTACTTTCAATACCACGTGAAATTCATAATTTACTAAGTTGCAGCTACTCATACGAAGACCGAATATTGATATTCTCCTCAGACTCCTTCGGTCGCCGCGCAGCGCTCTACACCCATTTGCTTTCCACCCATTTGGTTGCACCACGAAAGGCCGCATGCACTCCGTGTTAAATAGATGAACCAAACAGTAAATGCAGTAAACTCAGTAATACAGCCAAGTGCGTGGTGCAATACTGGAAAGGCAGTTTAACGCTCTTTGGTTTCAAAATAATTTAATTACATAGATATTGCTGATATATCTTGAATATTTAATGTCATTAAAACGAAAATGAATATTCTTAAGATATTATGAGATCTTATTAGATTATATGAGGCTTGTGCATCCGTGCAACGTAACTACTAGCCGCCGCTGTTAAAATGAATGTGTTTGGTAATCTTTCACACTTTGAAATAGAATCTATTATTCAAGGTTAGTGCCCCAAAACAGCAAAAGAAACAGAGAAAGTGTGTGGAAGCAATTAAAAAATATTGTGAGAAAGAAAATACAAATTGTCAGCACAAATTACAAATGAATATATTCCATACATTTTAAAAGATTGGACAATTAATAAGCGAAGAAGTGTTAGTTAATAATGTCGGATGTGTGAAGTTGGATGAGTAGAGAACTTGTGTAGCCCGAGAAGGTACAAACATGGTGATTATATTAACAAGAAAGCAGTAATTGTATATGACGAACAATAATGCATTGAACTATGTTGAAATACATTCAAATTCGACGTCAAAGAAGGCAGAGGATCAACGAACCAGGGAAGTGACGAAGGGACATTAATAAAATACATATTGTGGGAAGATCAAGTTTTGTTTAGATGTTAATAATTTCAAATAGCATAATACGGGTAAATGGCCATGCATTCACAGGGAAACCAAATTGTATATGTTTGTAAATGTATTGTAAATAATAGCATAGATGGGAATGTTAAATGGCTAAAGGTTTTTCATGTATCGTTGTTTGTTTTTATGTTTAGCTATAGAAGTGTTTTACGTATGTTTTTCTGTTCAAGGCTGAAGAAAAAGCTAATTATAACGTTTTGTTTATTTGAAGGTTGAATATTATTATTTTCTTAATGGTAAAGAGATTACCAGAATCCAAATGTTTGATTGACATAAATATTTGTTATGTTAACTTTCGTCGCCGAAACTCCGTGAGGACGGTTCTGTCGGCCTACCAAATTATTTTCTCACAACGGATATACTTCGGCGAACAGATAAGGTATTGGTTGGAACAAAAAAATAGATTGTATAAAGATGTGAATAATAAATACCAGGTTAGTTCAAGGAAAATTCGCCAGTGTTGACGAAGTTATGTAATTCTACGCGAAACAATGGCGAATTTTCGGCAGAAAAACTCTCATTTTACAGGGTCATAGTAACGAAAAAGTGTATAGATTCGGTTGCTAAAAGAATCCTCAAACACGTGGTATAGCCAAAATCCATGTTTGTGAATCCTTGATACCGAAAAATCAATTGACGGCAAATTATCTGCCCATCTGTCTGACCATCTGGCTAAACCGCTCAGATGATTTTCTCCAAAATTGACATTCCCCTATCGTTCTGGTTGATGTCACTTGAATTTGAAACCGATATTTTAATCCTGGGGGTACTTTACATGAAGTCCATTGAACATTTCCAAAACTTTTAAAAACATGGCACCAATTTTCTAAAATTAAATTTTGTTGTCGGATAGCGTAATAAACGTTTAATAGAAATGTTTAGGTCTCAT